AGCAGAATGAGAGCGTACACAGCTTAGATACAAGACATAAGGGAAATTGCAAAAGACAAACTACATATTTAAAAATGTGTATGAAAATTAGCTCAGAGCAAATGAACGTGAATTGAAAAAAGAACAACTGTGAAAACATATTTATTCTTAAAAAATGAAAAAAAAAAAAAACAAGGGATGCGCTTTCCGCTCAGAGAGAGCATAACAACTCACCGAGATATCTCGTATTTGCAGACGTATTTAGCTACTCATCATAGCAGAATACATGCACATCAAAATTAAACTAAAGGACAGAATCAATTACTCTAAATCAGAAGAAAGCATCATAAATTAAATGTAACATAAAAAAAAAGAAAAAAAGTTAATAAGTCCAATCTAACAAAAGGATGAACATATTGTAATCAAGAAAAGAATACGGCATCAGATAATAAGCGGAGTTGTGGTCCACACAGTAACTTCGGTGTGTAGGATAAGATTATTTTCATCATTTGCCAAATCAAAGTGGGGAATACATAAAAGATGGATGGGGAAACAAGAAGCACACACTTTCTACGAAGAAAACGAAGTCAAGAAGACTACAAAGATCGAGCTTCTTTCGTGAGCAATGGCAATAAACCCTAATCAGTGACGGCACTGAGCATTACGATTAAGATGGTACAATCCTTCATATTTATAGATGTAAAGGGCCGAAGACAATTTCCTGAGCTTTTCGGGCATGAGCTGACCCAGGCCCAATCTGCCCTTCTTATGTTCAATTGAGTTTGGCCTTGTCAGTTTTTATATATATATATATATATATATCCCATCAATTTTAAAAAAAGAAAAAAGAAAAAAAAGTGAAGCACATCTTTTTATGAGAGTGTCACATGAGAGATAAATCTTATTTAACATAAGAGTATAATTTCCCATATTGATAATTGGTTCATGAATAACTAAACGATAGATGTTAGATATGTCCATATACTTATGGATTATAGTTTTTCATCAATATGATATAAAATTATCTCTATTAACCCTAAAAATTATGTTGTTTTGGGGATTAGGGAAATTAATAAATGATATTTTTTATAAAATTCATATAACAAGAAACAAATGAAATTCCTAAAATACCCTTCATTAATTTCACTAACCTCCAAAATGACATAATTTCAAGGTTGATGGAGATAATTTTATCTTATGTTGATAGAGAAAAATAAACCCTATATTTATTATATCAAAAAATATTCAGCATTTAACAATTTGTTAAACTTTTTTTTTACAAATATTAAAACCTACATAGATTTATATGTAGGAAAAACGACCATATTGATGCAATTTATTGAAAAAATTGCCCAATTAATGCGCATTGGAAAATATATTTCATTGTAATGTAGTTCTACACGCAGTATAAGCATGCTTGACTAGTCTCGCATCTGATCAGTATGAGATTCAGTGCCACATCACAAGTCTCGCACATACTTTCCAAAGTAACGTGTGCAAATTCACTATAGCCTATAGCGATTTTAGTTCGCAAATGTGACACATTTCTTGTGAGTACCTAATTCGTTTCAGGTAGTAAGGAATTAGGTAGTTCGCAAGACACTTGACAGAGATTGACAAATTCACTATGAGACATAGTGAAATACACTTGCAACGGTTAGAAAAAGAGTTGTTGGGTCACTTGCCCGATGTGGACAAATTTGATGTACCATATAGCAAATTAGGTGCAACGGTGAGAAAAAAAACCCTCTCAAATAAGCACTAAGATGTCGTTTGGATGGCTTCTGTCTTTACAAAAGCTACTTTAAAAATAAAATAAAAGTGCTTTTACAATTTTTTGATTGTTTGGATGTTAATTTCTAAAAAAAGCAAAGGCCAAGAACAAAGTCAAAATATGACTTTTTGAAAAATCTAAAATTTGTAGCTTTTGAAAAATGAGAAAAAATCTAAAATTTGTAGCTTTTGGAAAAAGGAGAAGCTGGAAGCAAGGAAATGACCCTCGTGTGAGCATTTTTTCCCCCGAGTTCCTGCACCATCTTTCTTGAATGATGTTTGTCCTTCATTTCCATCATAGCACTTCTCTGTGGACTTATCTGCTTTGAGGTACACTCTCTTTCTAAATATGTGCATACTATGAAAAACAATGATGGATATGCTGCCACATTTAGGGTTCCCCGAATGTAAATATAAAAGCTTCACAATCGAGACCCATAAAAGACAATTTTTTTTTTTTCAAAATGAAGAAGAGAGTGAAGAGAAGACCTTAAAAGTGTACTTGGGGTTTCTAGGATCTTCCTTGTAAGCATCAATGATTACCTTGTTGGAGAACATAGACAACACATAATAAAATCAATCAATAAAAATGTTGGTTGCTAAAACAGCGGAGTCTGCTGTTGTTGTTGTTGAGAAAAAAGGATGTGGAGAAAAAGGAAGAATCAAAGCCAGTGCCAAAGGGGGGCGTAGAAGAAGACCCAAATGCTGGCGTTGATGATGGGGTTCCCAAACCCAGGGTACCAAAGGCTGGAGTAGAAGATGGGTACCGAATGCTGCGGTTGAAGGGGTTCCGAAGGGCACAACGATCATTTTATATTTAAAAAGGTCTTTTTTATTTTAACATTCAAATGATATTTTTAGTTCAAAAACATCTTTTAAATATTGCATTCAAACGCAAAATAACACTGGCTTTTAAAAAAATTCTTTTAAAAAAAGCAACTCATAAAAAATCTTTTTCAAAAGCTCATCCAAACAGCTCCTAAATTGTCTCAAAAGAACTAATTTCCTAAACTTTCAACACTTAAAATTTTTATTCCTATACTTTATCACTTTTTTTTAACATAATTTAAATCTCAACAAACATAAAATAAATTAGTTTCAATGATACAAATATTATTTACTTTTTAAAAAATGTTAAGGTAAAATTTGTTACATATCATATCAAATTATTGATGAAATAGTTAAACATTAACAAATCAAGTCAAGCAACACTCACGGATTTGGGAGTGCAATCAACAAATCTATTTGCTGACTTGTGAAGATAGTGTGCCTAGTAATGAGCCATCCATATTTTGCCCAAACAAAGGGCATGAAGTGTAGATAGTGTACCTACCCTTTAGCCATCCATGTTCTAGGTGGCTGCCCTTTTTATTCATAATAGTGTGAAACTACATGAGTTTCAAAATTTTGTTATCTCATATATAGGGATAAAGTCTTCATGATTCTGTTACCAAAAAAAAAAGAGTCTACATGACTCACTTTTGGTCCCAGTTACTCAAGAACTCTGGCGCTTAGCTCAATTTCAATATTGCATGGGCAGACTGAAATTGTAAATAAATGCCTAGAAACGTATCTTTGTTGCTTCTGTCATCCTAGGCTCCACCTATAGCCCAGGTGGATGCATGGTGGAATATTGATACAACACAGCATATAAGTCACCCCATGATATGATTTTTTTCCGAGTTTTATACGGATTGAACCCCCTTCTTATTCAAGGTGCCTCACTCTTCCATAACGGCTGAAGAGGATAAAATGCTACTAGAGAGAGATCATACAGCAGCAACTCTTCCATGCCGAGTATTTCACGTTTCTTTGGTTAAAAGATCCCTGTCAGCCACAGATATGTTCCAGTTCCACCCTCCTCCTCCTATGCTTACTTGTGATTTGAAATTGCAAATTGAACCAGAGAAAGTGCTTCAATGGCACAAAACTCCTACGAGAATTCATGGGAGGACTACTATATGACTGAGAGACAATTTCCGGAGTTCCACCTTGTTCTCAAGGTGCTTTTATTTAAAACCCCACCTAATTATAAGGTTTACTGCAAGCGGCATTACAGGGGAACACTCACAGATTTAGGAGTGCAATCAGCAAATCTATTTGCTGACTCAGCAGGTGGAGAGAACATGGGGAAGGCTAAAGTTAGGGAATGGGAGGGAAAACTTGGAGGATAAAAAGAGAGGGTCTGTCGGGAAAAGGTGTCTTTTGGGTCATATTTTAGAATTCGGACACCATCATGTGTATGTGACTATGTGACTAAAGGCACTGCAATTCCTCTATGCTATCTTACTTTTCTTCTGCACCTGTTTCTGCATATACTGAGATGGGTTGTTATATCAAAACGTTGATTCGAATCAGTGATTAACACTGATTATGGAGTTTGTGTTGGTTCCATAAAGCAATCAAGCTGAAACATTTTGACACTCCTAAAATTAACGTGTTGATCCAAGATTCCAATATTTCCATCTCTCGCTTGACTCTGAAACACACCACTAATTTCTTTCTTATCACAACACTTTTAGTGCACTTCATGCGAGCTTGGTTTGCACGAAGGCACACTACTAAACCAAATTATAAACTACAAAAACAAAACGAGTCAGAGCCATATATACTAATACAAAGCACACATATGATACAACTTTTCTGATTGAACAGATGCAGAAGTGAAAGCAGAGGGCCAATAGGTGAGCTTAAATGATTATAAAAGTTAATATGGTAAGGTTCCGCGTAAACTTATCAAATATTTAATTTTCACAATAAAATGTTTGATAGTCTTCTAAATATTAACAACTCAGCATAAGTATCGATCTATTACCCATAAAAATAATTATGAGCATCATAATAATCCCCAGAGTTTATACAAAGGGTGGTGATATTTGCATAATTCTCTGACAAGCCACTAGGTCCCACTAAAACTTTTTTCTGAATAATCCAAGTATGTGCAGTCTAAGTATCTTTTCCCTTGTACAAATATGGTATAAATGTCAGGTGCTAGGCCTTCCTCAAATTAGAAAGGACCTGAGAAATTAGAGTCTCACATGCATTGAATGGGCAATAATAAAACGAGGGGCAAAAGATCCCAGAAAGAGGCATAGACAGAAAACTGCCAGAATAAGAAAATACACACAGAAGTCGTCAAGATCTATAGACTCATCTACAAGTTAGCAGGCTTACATGCAAATAACATTCGATTAGACTAGGTTTAAAGCCATAAGTTCCATTAAAGTTTTCATCAATTCATACTTTCATAGTAGTTGTGAAACTATCAGTACAACCTAGGACACTAATATAAAGAATACAACTAACCACATAATTATTTTTCTCTTTTTAATTCTTTTCGCCTGGCAGGTGCGGGAAGGAGGGTGTTGCTAGGACATTTCAACCTGAATTCTCTCCATTGCTAATCATAAAATTCTGAATATATCCGCTTTCAGTAATATTTCTCTGCCCACACCCACCAATCAAAATCTCAATGTAAGCTCTTACCATCTTCATTAAGAGATCTGCAGCAAGATAACTACAATGGTCATACTATTACTGACCTAGCAAAAGTTGTAGCAATTTCAGTGGGAGTGAATTGATACAAGCTGAGTAAACACACCAGCGAAACCACCAACAATCAGAAAATGCATCATCAGAAGTTAGGATAAGTTGGCAAATACTAATGAAGGTGTCATGTATCGAGTCGCAAACCACTTATTATTACATAAAAAAATGGGTGAACTATACACAAAACAAATCCTTCCAGGCCAGCTAAACAAAAAAATCACTTGGAAAAGCAACATAAAGAAGATAGCATTTTGGGAGGGGGATAAAGACATAATTAAAGACACAAGGCCAAAAAAAAAAATATATTTAAAAATTGTGCAGGCCATCCTATTTACAGTTACACTTGAGAATAAAATGCAAATGCAACTCACCACTCCCACCACATAAGCGGAGAAAATCGAGAAGATATAGTCCAGATCATGAAGGACTTCCCTTCATGGAATCATCTCAGCAGATGAATAAGCTAGATCAGGTAATCCTTGGAAACAGAACCATAATAGTTCAGGGACTTCTAAAAAGTTGATGACCATGATGACAGGAATTAAGTACTATATCCTATGAAATTACGCAAGATACCCTTGATCTCACATAATATGAAAGATCAAGTAGCCTAAGAAGGACATATTACACTATCACATCAATTGAACTGCACTTCAACTGACACATGTTGCTTATGCAATTTTCAAGCTACAGGTGAGAGCTAAGATAAATAAAAAAGGTACCTCATATGTGCTCCTTTGATATAACACGAGCAAATCATTTGGTATAATCAACAAATGCTGCATGAAGCAATCTAGAGGTATATGTAATAAGCCACAGGATAGACAGGTTCATATCCATCATTCAGAGTTAAGCTAGTAGAGCCATCATTAGAGTTCCAAACTAGAATGAGCATAATCTGATGCAATCCTATTGTTGTAGTCCCATATAAAATGGGATGAAATAAGATTTATCCAACACCACCAAAACAGTGTCGCATAACTAATTAACAACCATATTTTTCACCGTAAACACACAAATTTCAAAAAGACTTCTGTTTCCAGATGTCATGCTATTCCCCAACAATACCGCCCACAATGTACAAAAGATATAGAGAGTCCATTTTCAAAACCTACATTGTTGCGCAAGAAAGTGTTCCAGTATATAGCATTATGATTATCCTATGTTACTGTCACAGCTGAAGTAACATATTTACTATCTAGGCTCTTCTACCTCCCAAAAGATAGGAAGAAGATCCACTGTAAAGAAGGAAATATAACTGGGGTTAGAACCCCAAGGACAACATAATGCCATAAAAATAGAACTAATGCATCATTTGATTTTTCAGCATCAAAATAGCTTCTCGTCATCAATCTTACTATTTATATCCACCAGAAAACCAAACAAGAGTAATTCTGAACCACCATTGAGAAGGAAAACTATTAAACTAACCACCTACAGTAACACCAGCATTACTATCCGAGAGCATTTAACTAAAAACCAAGGAGCGGTAAAGAAAAAAGGGACAAAAAAAATTCACGAGGACATCTTCGTAGAACCGTCCACAATTGTCATCATTACATTTCTCAGCTCCTAGCGCTTTCTCCCTCCCTCTCCAATTTCTGCGAGAAAAACTTGGTTGCAAACATGTTGTCCTCAAAATACTCTTTATAAGGATGATTCTTGGGAACAAGCCTCCGGAACTTGTCGAATTGCTTCTCAGCTTCATCTTTCTTTTTTAGAAGGGTATATATGATACCCTGACACAGGTAGGGCCTAAAATCTCTTGGTTCTTCCCTTACTAGCTCCTGATAGGCCTTAAGTGCCTCAGAAAAATCTCCTTCCATTACTTTAATCTGCGCAATCAAGAGCTTTAAGTCTCGCTCATCCGAATTCCTGTTCTGCTTCTTGCACAACTCCACCGCTTCTTCAACCCTCTTCAACAACCCCTTCAAAGGCTCATTCGATTCCGTAGTCGCCATCACGAGCCCGTGAAACGCTTCCACGCGAAGTGGGTCTTTCTTCAGGATATCTTCGAACAAAATCCTAGCCTGTCCATGGTTGTCGTTGAAAACATGCATGTTAGCCTTCAGCAGAGGCCACTCGAGCTCTTCGGGTTCGAGCTCAATCAAACGGTCAATGACCCCAATCGCTTCGTCAATCTTGCGCGCTTTGATTTTGATCTCCATGAGAGCGCGTAGAGCTTCGGTGTCGCCAGGGTTGCTGCTCAATCTCTCTTCGATAACCCTCTCGTTTTCTTCTTCGTTCGAAGCGTTTTCCGTTGAGGATTCAACGGTGGGCGGTGCGAGCGGGGCGGCGATGACGGGCTTGTGATGGAAGCGCATGAAGAAGAATGCGGTTGCTGCAACGACGATGCAGGTGGTTTCCACGACGGGGGATAAAAGGGGGTTTAGGGTTTGGAGCAGGTTGGGTAGGGAAAAGGTGTTTCTGGGTTTGTTAAACGCAGGGTCGTTTGTTGATGGTGACGGCGACGGCGAGGATGAGGCTCTGAATCTGATTGACGGTAACCTAAACGACGAAGACGGAAATTGCGGTGGTGGTAGGGATCTGAAGGAGACGGAAGAAGATAAGGGCGTTGGGAATGATGAACGGTGGTGATTGAGCGAGAGGTGAGAGTGGCGCAGTTTAGGAAGAGAGTCCATGATTAAGGCCTGAGTGTGAGTGTGAGTGTGAGTGTGAGTGTGTATGTGTAGAAGAAGGAAGTGAGGCCTAAAGGCTAAAACCCTCACTCGCAGATTCATTACGCACGGAAAGGGTATTACACGGGAACGAAAAATTCGGTAGCATTTTTTTATTTTTCATTTTTTGCTTTTAATTTTAAATCTCGAATTGTCATTTTATTGGAATATAAATGAAACAAGACCTTGTTACCAAAAAAAAAAAAAAAATTGAAACAAGACCTTTGCAATAAATATTGTATGTGTATACTGAAAGGAAAATAATAGTTACCATTTTGATATTTCAAAATGTGTTAAATTATGTCTCTTTTATTTATTTAATTATTTAAAAGTTATAAAATATTAAAATCGTGGGTTAATATTGTGTATGATGTAAATAATATCATGCATAAATCGCGATAGAAAGATTGCTATTAACCTTTTCAAAATTTCAGGGAGAGATAGGTACATGTAAAGAATACAATGCACAATTACCTACCAAATCATGAGGGAAAGAATGCGAGAAACATTTTCGGCAGTTTAGCGGATATAGAAATATGTCAACTCATCTTGGTTTCTCAGGTGTTTAATTTTCAAAATATACTCAACTCAAATCTTAATGTATAAGCTAAATTTCATATTTTTTAAAAAATATAATCATTTTTCAAATAATTTTTTTATCTAATGTGAAATTGTATTTACAATGAATAACTAACGGTATAATCACCATCAACTATTACTGAATTAAAATTATAATATAACATCTAACGTATACCATATTATAAAATCATTTATTATGGGAACGAGGGAGCAAGACGCGGAATATAAGGCTCTGTTTGATTATTGTTTTTAAAAATTATTTTTTAGTTTTCAGAACAAAAAAATTAAAAAACTCGTTTGATAAGATCTGTTTTGTAAAAAATGTTTTGAAAACTATAACTGTTTCTTTGTTTTAAGAATCAAATTTAGAGAACATGTCTGAGTTGTTTTTGTTTTCTGTTTTGGTTTTTAACTTTCAAAAAAATAAAATAAAAAACAACTGTTTCCATAACTATTTTACAAAACAATTTTAAGAACAAAAAAATCAGAATACAATCAAATTAGCCCCAAGACTTTCTTGTCAAGACTCTTTGCTTTGATAAGACTTTTTGCATTTGAAAATGAATTTGAAAGGCAACAAACAACCTAAGTCCAATCCCAAGTTCTTTAATATCAATGACATTGAGATAAAAGTTGTGCTTGAGGCTAACTTAAATATAGACAATCTTTAATGTCTGTTGGTGAAACAAACCTATTATTATTACTGAAACTTTTAAGGAGTCCTAACCATGATTTGTTTTCATAATTATTAATATTATAATATTCTTATTTTAGTAAATGAAATTTAAAAAAAAATGTAATTTATTGGTTTACTTTTATAATGACATCACAAAATTTAAACCTATAACTTTCTACATATTACTCGAACTCCTAAAAATTAGTTCATTATTAGTCATTGGGCCATGCGAGATTCACTGGACCAAGCCCAACTCCCTGATAAAATAACCCAATCAATCTCTGTCAATCCAACTATCCAATGCAAGTCCAATTCTAACATCAGCTTGGGCATACTCAACTGACCGAGTTGACTTGAATCAATGCCCTCCAGTTTTTACAGAGAAATAGAAAAGATTGAAACTGAACAAAGGATTTTGATACATCTTGCATGCCATTTCTGTTAATACTGCTTTCAACAAAGGTTCGTTTTTTTTTTTTCTGAAATTAATGTAAATAAGTTATTTATATTGATTCTAAAATAATATTTTTTTGGAACGAAAATTAAAATATTTTTATAATTATAATTTATATCAGAGTTATAATAATTTTTTTATTATAATTTTTTTTTTTTTAACTTAAAACGACATCATTTTTGAAGATAGATAACTTATCTACATTTATTGTAAAAATATTAAAGCATTAAACAAATATGGAAAAAATAATGCATTTATACCATTTCTATTTTATGATTATTTTCTTCTATTTTTTTTTTGGTAAGGGAGTATTTATTCCCAGCTACAACATTTGGCTAACACATTTGTCGGTTGTATCAAGATTATAGTCATGGGTGGAAGGGTGAAGATGAATAAGTAACTTATTCCTGTCCCAAAAACACAAGTAAAACGCGAAAAAGACCAAGAAATAAATACATGGAGTGAGTGGGACTGAGGTGACATGAACAACAGATTATAGATGGCATCATCAAAACTGGTTTGATTCTTTAAAGGACTGCGATTGTGACTGCAATTCAATACACAGACAAGTACACTTGAAGCCCCCACCAAATTACCAATGGTTCATGCATCATGCATGCACCGTGCTCCCATTAAGAAACAGTACAGACAAGGAAACCTAAGGAGCCACAAATCTATGCTCACACACCGCATCATCCAAGGGACAAATATAGACAAAGGCACACATACCACTGTTACAAGAAATTGTTTTTTTAAAAAAATTATTCCAAGAAACTTTAACGTAGGTGTAATTTGACAACATGACTCTAGATGCTACAGCTAGAATTCACATTCAGTACAGATAAAATTAGTTCGCAGGCTTAAGAATATATTATTTATTTATTTTAATTCCAATTTTTTTTTTATTAAATTTTGTTAACTTCAAAAAAATAATCTAAATACATCAGTAATAATTACTTATTAACTTAGTTTTTCATAATTTTTTTTTTGATAAACAGTTTTTCATAATTTAACTATGACAAAATATTTATGAAATAATTATATGAAGTTAGTATTTAAATATAAACATATTATTTTCCAAATAAGAAGAAAATTGAGATAGAATAGTCGATTATTTTAAATAATTTATTTGAGAAAAAAACTATTTAATTGGAAATAAAAAATAACTTATGGTATTACGAAACATTTTAACTTAGGTAGTTGCATGACTAGTTGTACATGAGCTATTTGCATAATTAGTTGTACATGTGATATATGTATAATTGTCACGTGACAAGCTCATATGTCATGTGCGCAACTCATTGAATTTTGCCATATGGTATCATCGTAAGTGTTCGTGCAATTATCTTTCACTTATCTTTCTCTTCCTACTTTTCAATTCTCTATAAAGTTAATATTTTGTTGTGCATGTTTCTATCTATCAAAATGAGTTCAAATTCTGATTTGTTTGTGCAATTCTATACTATAATAGTAGAAAATTTAGAGGTAGTAACGAGATAATGTTTAAAGGTGAAAAAAGACATGCATATTAAAATAATATATGCATAATACAATCAAATTCAACAAGTTGTGCCACATAATAAAATCTAATTAATTGCGTACGCACCTTGTGCGCAACTAGTTACACATGTTATATGTGTAGAACTCATAGAAAATTGTAATGTAGCGGACATGCATAACATGTGTGTGCGTAGTTTTATGTGTGTGCACAACAAAGAACAAACTACATTTGTTGAGTTAAATATTTCAAAATGATATTAATATTAATATAATTATTTATTTTATAATCAATAAGTAGATTCTTTTTAAACTATTTAAGTGAAGCAAATAAGAATAGATATTCTCATATTAAAATTTTAAATGATTTGGTCATATGAAATTATTGGGTCTATCTCTTTTCTTATCATATCTCTTTTCTTATCATGCATTAAATAGGTGAAGTATAATTATATTTTGTCAACATTAATGAAAAAGAGATAAACGTACAAATTTTAAGTGACGTGAAATTTTAACATTAAAGGATCCACTCTTGAAACAAATGCCTAAATAAAATTAAGAAGATAATATTATGTTATTTTAAGTAAAATTATCGTGTTTTGGTATTTTTTTTACCTTTTCTCTCGTAAGTAATATTCTCATTTTCTCTCTCTCATAATTTCGTGAACAAGAAAGGAGATAAAAAATTACCAAAATTCAATAATTTCAGTTAAAATAACACAAAATTATTTTCTTTAAAATGAAAAATATTTTTTCCAAACATTCTTATGTACGCCACGTCATACTCTTGCGGTCACTATAGAGTACTTATTAGTTCAACTTCTACCCCATTTGGACAAATCAAATGGAACCATTTACGCGGTACGTTGGTTCAATTAATATTGGGATGTTATTACATAAAACAAACAAGTTTGTCAACCTTTTTTTATTTAACGATTAACATGGTTTGCGTCTGAAACCTAAACTCGTCCTTTGGAAGAATCTAAAACACCTAATCTCGTTCTTTGAAAGAATCTGAAACCATATTCTGTATCCTTTGCCTTGTCTGTTGCTCTGAAGCTCTCTCTGCTCTAGTCCTCGAATATGCCTCGAAGAACTCCTTGTTCTCCTTCTCTAGCTCTTTCCAAACTGCTCCACATAATTCGTACCATATGCATGAACATCCGTCATTCACGTATCCAATTATACTTTTTAGACTCAGGAAAAAGTTAAAAAGGAAAATAATAATAATGATAACATATTAACTTCATCAATCAAGTATGAAGCACGTGTATACATATTTCCCAAAGATTTGGTATAAATATGCCAATATGTACCGTGCTCAAGATGTTAGTTAATAATTAGGGTTTAAATTATCTTAAATTGACGAAGATAATTCTCTTATGCAAGTGAGACATGAAAAACCATGTTATTACTTTTTCTTTTGATTTTAAAAAAAATGATAGAACCCACATGATTTGTTTCTATAGCATGAGGTAAGCCATCTCCTACTGTAGAATAGGAGATTAATAAATCCCTAATAATTAATATATATAGCACAATTGTGGTTATGTACTTGTTATAATAAAGTCAAGCTAATTAATTTGGAGGGCAGCTATAAAGCGATCATAACAGTAAGTGAAATTAATTAAATAATTAAAGCATAGTTTATAAATTTAATTTTCATGTACAAAAAGGAGAGTGAAATCAGGTGATTTTACCAGTGGAGGTAATAACCGGTTTGATATTTGCATGTTTGGAAAGAGCTTCCATGCACTCTTCTTTGCTCATGTTGAATAGGATACACTCCTCAATCAGACGGTGCACCTATATGCATGTATGCATAGAGGCTTTAGAACTATTATAATTACCAGCAAAAGGAAACAGAAAAAGTAAATGAAAATTAAAATATATGTTTTTATTTGTCAGAAACTATCAATATTTGGACAAACAAAATTAAAACTCACCAGGTGTATATAAGCAGCAGAGGAGGAGTCTTCCATGGCCTTTGATTTGTGAGATGAATTATAAATTAGAAGGCGGTTTTCTCTCCTTGTATATGATCTGATGGGTTATATAATATAAAAGTTTGTTAATAGGATCCAGAATAGTACAATTGAAAGAGAGTGAAGAAGCCAGAAATGCTTGAATTGGAAGGAAAAGAAGGGCTAGCTAGAAGGTAGAAGAAAAAGAGAGAAAAGACAAGGAAAGATGACGAGAAAGAGAAAACCAGATGAAGAAGGAAAATGAAATGGTTGGATTTATAAGGAAGGTGCTTCAAAGAGGGTAGATGTCAAAGTTAAAAACATTAATAAAGGGAAATTAACAGCAAGAGAGCACATAAAACGATTAGATAAAAGAGGCACATGAACTTATGAATATGAATAGAATGTCAGGCTGCTGTGGCGGGACCCACAGTCCCACGTGGGAGCAAAACGGCGATTGGTGGCGAGGAGATTAGAGGAGATTCTATATGAGAAGCACCAAACGTAATTGTTTTGTTTATCACGTGGCAGTGGGGCCATTATTCACGTGACACGTGGGGTCTCATATCTTCTCTTTGTCCAAAGTGGCACCTATTAAAATGATTAGGTAAGACTATTTTTTTTCTTCATAAATTAAGCAGTGAGTTTGTTTTTCCTCATTTTATATCTTCAACGTTTTCTCTCTCCCCTTGTTGGAAATCACGTGAACTCACAGAGTTTGTATCTGACATTTGATATTGAGTAAATATGGCTGACCTTATGGTGCAAGCATGGTCATTATTGTCTTGCTGCTGAAAGAAACTACTAATTTTTTTTTTTGTAAGTTGATGATAATAAAAATACTTCATAGGTCATAACAGTAAATAGAATGCCAATTTTCCTTTCCCAATAAATTCCTGTGTTACTAACAACAGTAATATGTAATACCAATTATTAGCCATAAGAGAATAATATTCATGTTAAAGTTTTATATGAGAAGGTCATCTGATATTTTTTTTTTAAATAATGACATATATCATTCTTAATTTTACAAATTTTAAATTAAGTTATGTTGAATTAATTATGTGTATATATATATATATATATATATAACTTTAAATATTTTTTATTTTGATTTATATTTTTTAAATTCTATCTGATCAATGTAATGCACAAAATTCTTACTAGTTAAAAATAATAAGCAATGAGATGATTCATAATTTCATTGCATTTTCCAGATATTAATACTTAATTAGAATTTGTGTTCAAGGTTTCTCAGTTAAGTTAACTAATATTTAATTGTTCGGATGGGTCTTTCACAATTATGTTTTCTGGCAAATCAATGTTGTTATTTTTCAACATTTTCCCAAACAATACGGTGAACCTGTTTCCTCTATTTGCTTATTGTGTTCTTTAAAATAGAAAGGAAAAAAAAAGTTTCTAAAAAAATACTGTGTACCTTAATTAAGTCTTGAACTTTGATTTCCAGGACCTCTGCTATAAACAATGTCTCCCCGCTCTTGTTTACACCTAAATAGATATATTTGCTCTTTGTACCTATTACCTTTTTGGAATTTCCTTAAAAAAAAATTGAAAAAAATGTGTATCATTTTAAAGGATACAAATTATGTCATTTTAAATAAGAGACAAAGATAGATCATAGGAGAGAAAGTGAGAGAATTTTTTTTCAAAAGTGTGAATCCTACTTTAAAAGAACATAAGGTATGTCTTTTAAAATGACACACCTTCTTCCCAAAAAATTTATATTATTTATTTTTATCAAAATAATCCGTGTAAGAGAAAGTATATAAATTTAATTTCGGTGTGAGTATAATATTATTGATAATTTATTAGTGCAAAACAGCAAATGCCATTTCAATTCAATCTTCATATATAAAAGTACTGAATATTGAATAAGAATTTAGAAGAGACACCAAGAGATGGAATAGGCATCCATGCGGAAACGCATATACATAGGTCTCTTGGTTTAAATATTAATTTTGATTTGGTTACAGTAAAATGATAGGAATGAAGGACCTTCACCATTTTTTTAACAATTATTAAAGGGTACAGGCATGGCTGTATGATTACGATGCCAAGTGCCAACCACCATTTAAGACCATTGTTTAAAATAATATATAATATATTTAAAAGTAAAGCATTATGCAAAAAAATATTATTATTTGCTTTTACAGCTAGAAATGACAATGACATGAGGTCCATGTTAATCTACCCATGGGTCGAATTTGGCAGAGCCTAATTATTATTTACTAGTCAGAATTAGATCAGCATAAAAGATTCATTTAAAAAAAATAAAAAAAAAATAAAAGAAGCCAAAAGGATAACTTACTTGGTCAGTTATTTACACATGTTAACAAGTATAATTTGGATTCAAATATAAAGATTTATTGTAAATAAGTTTATTATCCCATTATAAATACTCATTATTGGTTAATTCTGATTTTAAAATGAAAAATGTCTTTACTCATTTATAAACTTTAAATATATTAAAAAAGAGAAGAAAGATTAGGATAAAGAAGAAAAGTTAGTTTTGGATTCAAATTTCAGTGGAGGAAGTATTGAACTTTATAATACTCATATTTATTTAAGAATCAAATAGTCAGATTTAGACTGATTTGTTCATTTTTGAATTTCATTCGTATAAATCAATATTTTACATTTTCTTAAATACAATGTAAACTTTTTAAATAAAAATGGCAATCAAAAGTTTTTTTTTTGTAATACAGTTTGTTTTCTTTCAATCAGATTATAATATAATAAATTTGTAACAATCTTTTCAAAAATAAAAAACAATATATGTAAAATATATTATAATATAAAAACAAAAAAGAGTTATGGAGTATTTGAAGACTAGCGGTGAGAGACGTAAATAGTTCATATTAAATTATACATTCAAACCTCAAACTTCAGTCCTATGATTACATAAAAAAATATTCAAAACTATACGGACCATTTAAATTAAGAGAAAATTATATTTACAAACTCTTAGAAACTACAAAATGTACTAAGAGTAATACATTCCAGTATATAACGTACTATTCATAATACTTAGTGTAATTTATAAACAAAAAATTTATAAATATAAAGATCCTTTCTAAATTAACCTAAATTTGAGCCCATGCCCATAACTTTTACAAGCATATGTTAGGATCCAATTGTTATCACTGACGTCACATTGTCCCCTTTGGGAGTATATTTTTTATGTAACGAGAATAAATACTTCTTCAAAAAAAATAAAATATATATATAGTAAAAAATAACCATAAAAATAATGGTAATATACATGTGTTACTTTTTTTCATATTCGGTAAAAAATATATCACCATACAACCATTTGATACATTGATAATACCGAAAATATTATCCCGTTTTTGATTCCTATCATTGAATGAAAGGCCAGAAAAAGCTTCACGAGATTTGCTATTTACTGATACGAATAGTAATATCTAAATTTAATTAAAACTACTTAAACATTGGTATTACTGATGTAAATTTCTTTTTATACTTTTTCATAATTGATTGTTGACTTACATAACAGTTTGCTTCTCACATTGCTTACTCGAGTGTAGTAAAATATTATATAAAGTTGTGTACTTATTATTTATGAATTGTTATACTCAACATAAATAAAACTATTTGTACTGACTTGAACCGGGATAATTGCCGTGGGAAGTCTTAAGATTTTTTAAACACCTCATCTCAATACACATAAATACCCAGGGGTGCAAACAACTTTTTCTCGATGTGTATTAACGTATATAATACTTTGCAGCTGATATAGACGTACAAGTTTTACTACAAAATTCTTAACATATTTCCATCGACATTAACTAATAAGAAATGCTACCACTTGGAGTCCGTCACAATGTACAACCAATAAGATATGTATACAAATGTGCAAATCGTGCTCAAGGGAAATGTTAAATCTTTATAGAATAATCAGACAATCACAGTCTAACAATCCTCCTAATTAGACAAGACAGAATAAATATTCAACACTTTAATCTCAATTAATCACAGAAAGGCAATAACTACAACTACCAAGTCTTTTTTTTTTTTTTTCAGAATTAAAATCAGTGCTTTAGATTACACATCACCTGTTGAGTGTGGACAATGTTTCTCCTCGTCTGTGACCTTCTCCAATGCTGCTGAAATTCTTACATAATAATACACCAACTTTATGAACATAGTATGACACAAATTGAATCTATATTGTGAAAACATGCAAAAACCCCAACCCCAACCCCAACCCACCCTCCCTCCCTCCCTATCTCTCTCCTACCTATCAAGTCGAATTAGGAAGATGACATTTGACTCCACCTCAAACAGTTCCGATTTGAACGGGCAGCACCATGGCAGCAACTAATTACACGCTAAAAAAAGGGGGAGGGGGGGAAGGAAAAATCAAAAAATGCAAGAGTACAAAACGAAATGCAATTTACTATACAGTGGAGCAAACAATCGAACGACTTCAACTATTTGTGTTATGGCATTCATTCTCTCAACCGTGTTTTCTCCTCCCGGCCATTATGTTTGGGGTACTTATAAAGGGTAACCATATCTTTTAGGATCTCTTGTGCAGAAAAAGGGATGTCTTAATGCTTCCCTTGCTTTAAGCCGTTCTGCAGGGTCATACCGCAGAAGCCCTTGCAAGAGGTCAATCAAATCGCCAGCAGAATGATCAACATGCTGCATTATAAGGTTCTGCAGGGGAATATTAGAGAAAATATACAGGTAAGGAAATGCATTAATACCATTTGAGGCACTGTCAAGTGGATGGAACAAAACTGGATGATAGAATATGACAAAGAAGAACAAGTTCCTTCTTTACAACACTGAGCAAAAGTTTCCTCACGTGTAAAATTTGAAGCTATCGCAATTAAAAACTTCTGGTTTTGAATAACAGCACAAAACCAGGGAACTTTAATCGTAAAAATGTTAAAGGATATCTATAACTTATGATTGACACAGTCAAATTTAAGTACTATCACATTTAGGCATCTGATCAATTCACCCTTTTATGCATTGATCTGAACCTCAACAACCTATATCTACAGAATTCTCTTTAAGATACTGTAAGGAGCCATGAAGCAAGAAATGGACACACAAAACTGTAGTGAGTAGATGAAAGAGGAATATCACCAGGGCATGGAACTGTATTCTCATATACAAACCCACAAATGATATAATTATATGAATATTAAGTTAGAAACAGGCAGCCACAAAGTAAGCAATACCGGCAAACGCGGCAATTTCCAAACTGCCCTCATGCTTTCTCTTGAAGTTGAACTATCAGGCCAACCTACTCGTGCACCTCTTTTAAAATACTTCTCAGCTCGACGACTGCAAGATCAGGCTTTACATGAAAATCCACAGAAAGTTTAAAGACAATACATATTTCCAAAAGCAAAGAGAATTCAAAAGCTCTTACTCAGCCCTGCCCACCATATGCGGAGGTAGTGGCCCTAAAACTCTCTCCATCATGGCAAGATGTTCCAAGTTCTCATGTGTTTGGAAAAGTGCCTCACCCTGTTCATATATATGTGAAATAAAATTGCTCAAGTCACTCACAAAAACCATAAACAAGTTTTGCTGGTGGAGTAATGGCAACAAGGACATAAGCATATCATGCCAATGGATATTGTAACATATCCACATCCCCAAAGAAAAATTTGTCTGGGCTAAATGTATATATGAACATGTCTTGGGCTTCATAGCATGAAAATCAGAGAATAAAGGTAATATCTGACAACTCCAGTTCCACTAAATCCCATGTAGTATGGTAAGATCAGTGCAAATGGAAATGGAAAGTGCAGTGATGACAACAGTGACAAGATACAACTCCCAAATGTGGTAGCACTTTTAACAAGTATAAATCATGAATTTTGAAAGTAAGGAAATAAAATAAGCTCAATTAAGTTTATTTGCATGCATTACACATATTAACAAGATACTGGAAACTGTTAACTCAAAATGACAGACAGTCAGACACATCCTCTGTTTCTTGTCAAGTGCTATTGTTGTACAGTGGATTAAGAGCCCAATAACTGTTGGCCACAACAGAGGGATTTCAGAAATCAGGACAGAAAATACAGTAGAGGGAGAGCAAGACAAAAGAAGAGAAGTAGCAAGTGGGTGAAGTTACTTTCACGTGAACAGAGAACAAAGAGACTGCACCGGTAAAATCAAAGGCTTTTGGCAACATTGAAGGCCTACAATGAACTACAACAATCTCAGTGGATGAAGTTGAGGGGAGGATGAAGTTTTTATAATTGATTTAGAACATACGCAAAATAAAAAACAGCATGAGTTGCTTCATTTTCCAGTGGGCAGCGATAGCAAATGCTATATCAACATAGTGATAGTACATGGAATGGCACAATATCAAAATTGCCAAGCTAGAAAAGTAGCACTTTGCTCTTTCAATGACAACTATGATTCTACCTTTCATGCATAACAAGTGAAGGAAAATAAAGAAGGTTTGGCCTGATGATTACTTACAGAGCAAAGCTCAACAAGTATGCAGCCTACACTCCAAAGGTCGCAAGGATAGTTCCACCCAAGACCTACAGAAAAACAACAGATGCAAAATATAATGAATGGAAAACAGATATAATGAGCATACATGTCAAGGAATGACAATTACCTAAGATAACTTCTGGCGCACGATAGTGTCTTGTTGACACCACATAACTGTGATCCTGATGTTCAAATGTTGTACTCCCAAAATCGATGAGCTTAATGGCACTTGACTTCGGTAGATTCTTGAAATAGGAGCAATCTTTTGCGGTCCGCGACAGAAACTTAATTGCCACAAATGAAGAATATCCCAACAAAAAAGAACAAATATTAAAATTTGATCTGTGAGTATTGTGAGGAATAAGTGCTTCCATGGTTGCATAATCTTAGTCAAATATAGAACATTAATTAACTATTGTCAATTTCATCAAAGGAGAAATGCAACTGCAAGTTGTAAAAGTCATCTTATTAACACCCCTCTGCTAGTCCTAACACATTAGTTTCACTAACTGACAAGTGACAAACGAAGTTGAATTGGGATAGTAGGAGAATGATTAGGAAGATGATACCTTGCAGTCTGGCACTTCAGTAAATTCTGATGAGACAAGAAGAATGTTCTCTGGCTTCAAATCAGTGTGAATCAAGCATAAATCATGCATGACTGCAGATACGAGCAAAATAATAAGTGACTTACAAGCATAATCGATTGTAATAATATCTATTTTGTGTCAATTCAATAATAGTTTAGTTTGCTTCAAATATCAAAGGATTATATTATACATAATCGAATGAGTTATTACATATGCATATGTCTTAAACTCCAAAACAGAGGAGCATCAAATATGTATAAAATATATAATTTGGTAGTTGGTACAGGATATGTCCACACACATGCTACAGACTCCAAAAGTTGTCTGCCAAACTCCCGAACAAGATCAATGGGAAAAGAACAATAGCTGTTTTTGCGGAGAAAATCGTATAAGCTTGGTCCAAGCTTCTCAAATACCTGTTGAAACCATTTAAATCCATCCGCAAGTTTTTTAACTCACAGAATATTTAAGCATGATCGAATAGAAATTCCTGTTATTTAATCAAATTACAAATATCAATAAATACTTACAATACAAATATGATTACGATAGTCAAACCAATTCCGTATTTGCACACAACTGCAAAGAATAAAACCACTTATACCACAATCACTTTTAACATCAGACCAATAATGGAAGACAACCAGAAAGAACTCTTACTGTGAACCATGAACATCATGTCTGGCTAGCCTCATCAAGACATCGATTTCAGTCATTGCAGCCTCACGATACTTATTTATGGAGCGAACAATTTTAATTGCCACAGCTTCTTTCTTTTCATTGTCAAAACATTCCAAGACTTGGCCAAATGTTCCTGCATAAATTTTAGGCATCCGCATTAGGCCAACACACAAAGAATACCTATAAAAAGTCCAAGGACGTGCTTAAAAAGTCTTTTAACATAAAAGAACTAGAAAGTGCAGAATATTGAAATCACATTGTCGGAAACACAGGCACTATCTACCTTCACCCATTTTACTGAGAATTCTGTCTGCAACAATAACAAAGAAAACAATTTTAGAGAAGAAGGCCATATATGACTAATGCATAAAGCAAACATGTCACACAAACAAATCAAAACTACCCCACACACATTTAATTGTAGGAAATAAACATTCATACTCATATGCAACCACTTTAGATGAGTTTTATAAAAAGGAGGGGGGGGGGGGGATAAGTATATGCTATGACTTAACATACATCACATTGGGCCCGGTAGATATCACATAACACATGAGGATGAATCACCTACATCGAGGTGTTAAATTTTCACCAACGGAAAAAGTGTAGTGACCGTCTTTATCATCAGGCCTCCAAGGCGGTGATCCATTGCGAGGCATTCCTCTATAAAACATGGACGGACAAGCATGATTTGGAACCACTCCATTCCCAAACTCCTGTCTGAAATATATTGCAGGAAGAACCTGCAAGCATTCACAGATTAATCATCCAATAATTAAGCAAAATGTTTACGTCACCATGCTGTAAACTCATAGTGCTTATAAATCCACATATAGGTCTATTTCACTATGCCTAACCTAACCTTCAATTCAATTTTATTTTATTTTTTCAAACAAGAAAAAGGTCTTATCGTGAAAATTCACCAAGCCTGATCATTCCTACAATTCCTACACACATTAATTCAGCTAAAAATGTCCAGCCAGAGGGGAGAAAAAAAACAGGAAATAGTTTTCTAGAAACCAATGCAGATAGCATCAAATTAAGAAAACAAAGGCCAATTATTCAAAGAATATTTGCATAAACATGTAGAAGAAAGAAATGAATACCTTGTGAGGAGGAGGAAGAGGAGGAGGAGGTGGGGGCTTATCCCATGTTAAACGAGGCCTCTTCCTTGGTCTCTTGTCCATGTTCCTATGCGGAAACTCGATAATCCGCTGCGTTTCCATTTATCTGTGCATATAGCTCTCGTCACGATACATGACCATTTTTTTAATTGAATTCAATATAAATCGGAGATTGAAGTCTGACCAGAAGCACCGAATTGGGAAAAAAAAATTCCCCAAATTTGAATCCCTAATACTGAAACGGATGAGATCTGAGGTTGAAGCCGAGAGGAGGAGGAGGAGGGAGGAGACTTAACCGTGGTTAACAGAATTAGCTACCGTTACTAATCCATGGTTAGGAGGTGGGCCCTACATATTATTTGTTTGTTATGTAGCGTTTGGTTGAAGGTTTATTTTGGGATTGATGGAAAAGTGTAAGTGGATATTGAAAAATACCACGTTTGGTTCAGGTTTTTTCAAAAAATACTAGGCAAATAGGATAGATGGGGAAATGACTTTTGTGTTCATTTTTGGATGAAATTCACTGTTACAGAATACCACTTGAGATGTGGTATTTTGAGATAATTAGGGAAGTGAAAAACAGGTGCGAAGTTTCTCCCGAACATAGATTTTGCAAATTTAAATAAATTTCCCTGGTAATATTTCGGTCAACCAAACAACTTTTTTTATATTTTCCTACCAAACTCACTTTCCAACCATTTCCCTAGTAATTATATTTCCCTAGTATTCAAAAAATTTCTCCTTAACCAAACGCTCCCTTATCCTCTGCACCGGCTCATACTGGATTCTACCAAGTTGCTGGACTAATTGGTAGTTTTTGTTAGGGGCTTATCCAAATGAGTTCGGTCCACTGTTCTAAAATCCCGCTCGATCGATCGAGTCAATTCGAAACCCGGTGAATCGATTCTCAGATTAATTCGGATCAAGTATTAGATCGATCATGTATCGATTCAGTCAAACTCGATTAAAATTTGGACAAATTCGGCCAAATCCGACTACCTGGTCAGGTCATGCATTTTTTTTTTTTTTAAAAAAACAAAATTGTTTCGTCTTATCAAAAAAAATGTAAAACTCAATTTAATTCTTTTTTATAATTTTATTTGCTAGTATACTCTTCTACAATATACAATGACCTCTTAGTTTTCAATATTGAAATAATTTGTGGAGTAATAAATTAGAAAATGTGACATATGTCATTTTAATATAATTGAATTTGAAAAATATGAGTTCAATGTCATTGAGAGGTATGTTTATGAAAATTCTGAGTTGCAATTTAAATTGACATAGTAATAGCATGCATTTTTATTTATTTATGCTTCATGATTTTGCGTTTATTTAGTGAACCATGTTTAATTCATTTAGATATGGAGAATATAATTAAATTTATATGTTTACATTTATATATATTTTTATATATCTATATATCTCCGGGTCAATCAGTAACCCACAAGTCCGATTAACCCACAAGTCCGATCAGTAATCCAGTATCCCGACTGAGTGGATGCCTATATCGAGTTTACCAACACTTGATTCGGCCCAAGACAAAACTAGGAACGAATAATTATTGCGACAAAAACAAATGCAAATTTCACTCAAGAGAGAAAGAGAGAGAGAGAAAGAAATTGCATGCAACACTATACACTGTAACTTCCTGTCGCTTTTGTGGTGTTAATTCGAATTAGATTTAATCTGCGTTGGTTGACGATAGGATACCTGATAGTTTATGGGATAAAAAATAATTTATTTATATTAAAAAACAATTATTTATTGAAATAAAATGGGTATAGGTAAGAGCATAGGTAAATGATAATGATTCTCAAAATTGAAATAATAATACGTTTGTAAATTATTAGAGGATGCGCTATTATTCAAAGAAAATAATTCTATCAATTTTTTCCTTATTGTTTTGTTATCACTTTTCTCACATAAAAATTTGATATTGGTCCTCTCATTTAATTTGATTATATTATGTGAAATAATCTTAATTATTCACTTAAAAATTTGATAATGAATTCTCTCATTTAACATGATTATAGCATGTGAGATAATATTAACCATTCACGGATAATAATAATGAGAGATTAGAGAAAAAAATCTTAAAATAAGAAATGACAAAAAATAATCCACTTCCTAAAAATTTATCTTCTCCGATGATTTTCTTTTCCAAATCTGTACTCTAACAGCTTTACCAAAATGCTAGACAATTATGTGAATTTATATGTATTTTTATACACATACAAAAGTCAATAAAGTTTTGAAAGAGTAAACTACAAATTAAACTGAACATATATCGATCTCAATGAGTTGGCAAAAAAATTTAATTAATATTTTTTAATAAAATAATTATGCATTTATTACAGTTTTGAGAATAATTACGGATCTATTGCGCAATGTGATGCCTCTTTTGGCGTCACATGTGACGCCTCATTTGGACGTCTCACCCTAAGGGAGACGCCCCTATGGGACGTCTCTCATGAGGTATTGACACGTGTCATTTTTTTTCCAACAAATAATAATTTAATTATAAAACTTCTGAAGGCCATAACTTTTGACTCGGGTATCCAAATCAGGTAATTTTTTTTTTGATTCCACATAAATTTTCGAGATCTACGCAATGACATCTCATTTGACATTTTTTTTTTTTTTTGGAGTTACCCAACCCTAATTACCTCTTTGAGGCGAGTTGGCTCCTCCGGTATCCCCACGAGCTTCGACTCATTTGACATATTTTATTTCTCACAAACACAATTTTAATTTAAATCAGGTCATCATTCTTCCTTAGAGATTTAGAATATTTATTTAATTATTTCTTTTATTAATACATATTTTTTAAATTGATTTTTGAGTTTAAATCACAAATCAAATCTTTATTTTGTTTTCCTTATTAATAATAATTGTAACTTTTACTTTAAATCACAAACCAAAATTTTTTATAATAAAAATAAAAAAAATTATTTTTTAAATTAAATCACACATCAAATCTTGATTTATTTTTTATATTAAATCACAAACGCAGAGGCTTCTGAGTTTAAAAATGTGACATGTGTCAACACCTAACACGTCACCAATCACGTCTAAATTGAGTTTCAATCAAGAGGCAATCACGCCTAATTTAGGTAATTTTATTTTTGAAAAACATTCATAAGCCATCATTAATTTCAGACCACGAATAATAATCCAGAAGCTTATAGCATTAATCATTAATTTCAAAAATAATATCATTCCTCCTTAGAGATTTAGAATATTTATTTAATTATTTTTTTATTTTTACAGATTTTTCAAATTGATTTTTTAGTTTAAATCACAAATCAAATCTTTATTTTGTTTTCCTTATTAATAATAACTTTTATTTTTATTTTTAATTTAAATCACAAACTAAATTTTTGTTATAATAAAAAAATTATTATAAAAAAAATTAAATCATAAATCAAAATTTTATTTATTTTTTATATTAAATCACAAACTCAGAACTCAGAGGCGTTTGGGTTTAACCGCTCTTATAATACCATTCTTGCAAATTAAAATTGTGTTTGTGAGAAATAAAATATGTCAAATGAGATGTCATTGCGTAGATCTCAAAAAGTTATGTGGAATCAAAAAAAGAATTACCTGATTTGGATACGCGAGTCAAAAATTATGGCCTTCAGAAGTTTTATGATTAAATTATTATTTTTTTGAAGAAAAAAAATGACACATGTCAACACCTCATCCTTAGGGTGAGACGCCCAAAAGAGACGTCACAACAATAGATCCGTAATTATTCCCAAAATTGTAATAAATGGGTAATTATTTTATTAAAAAACATTAATTAAATTTTTTTGCCCAATGAGTTTTCTTCAGTGGAGCGAGCTTCTTCTTTGTTAAGGTTTCTCTACTCTAATCTCTATGGAGCTATGAATTTTCTACTTCTCTAACCTATATGCATTTTTTTAGTAGAGTACTAATTTAGTTGGGGTCTTGCCCTTGCTTTGGGGCTGGAGGATAAGCCAAAAAATCTTCGGTTGGGGGATTAGTCTCGTCCTTTCTCCGGTTGCGAAGCTTAGTGCACCCACTGTTACAATGAGGGGCTAGCCCAAACAGGCCGTACCCCGAGGGCATGGTGCCCGGAGAAGATTGAATGTGGATACCTCCTGACAATGTACCAAAAAAAAAAAAAATCACAATGATGGTTTACATGGTTCCCTCAATAATCCACAACGTTTGCGCATTTAAATAGGATGGCTTCGTCTACATCTCCTTTCGTTTAGTTTGCGATGCCCTATATGACTTGTTAAATATTGTCCAAGAACATGATGCCTCATGGCTCAAAACAAAGCAAAACAGCCAAAGACTTGAACAATCGTTCAAGAATTTCAGGCTTCAATTCAAACCTTTGTTAAAAGATGGAGAAAATAAGAAGGGGAATACATGCATACTTTATCTAAGTTCTAACCATGGTCTTTACTCTCATTTAACAGTCTCACTTCTATCTACATCATATCATTTACCCACGTACATCCTAGCGATGCTAAAATATACATAATATTGATTATTATCTCGCTAATTCTTAATTAAGAAAAAAAAAGCAAGCCTGATTATGATGCATAAGGCAGAAAAGTGGGAGGAGGAACAGAACAACCAGCTTCATAAAAGCTTTCTCTTTTTTCCAGTTAATATATGATTGTGCATCCTATTCGAATCCATATCCATATATGACATTGGTTCTTCATTCTTCACTGATAACCCATAATTAGTGGATGCAGAAGACATCTGAGAAGGTCCCCGAGAATTCCCAGGAAATGCCAAACTTAAAGAAGTTTCAGAATTATTGTCTTGGGAACCACTGAGTTGAAGGCCAGAGGAAGATAAAGGAGGAGGGTTTTGCCACTGTGGAAGTGGAGCAACTAGAAGTGTCTGAAGCAAAGGTCCAGCTTCTGTTACAGTTTGTAGCAATCTACCTTTCTGAGGCAAGGGTTTCCCACAAACCAGTTTATCAATCATTAGCGAAGAACTATCAACTATATTATCTCTTGAAGCACCTGTATCTGCCTTGATTGTACCAGGCGTGTCTTGATGATTTGGTTGCTTTGGCAAGGACAACTTGTTTGATTCAGCTATTCTTGTGTGAGATAAACCCATAGAGGAATGCTTCTCATTTGACTGGAGGCTTGCCAAGGATAAATCATACAAACAGTTTGAGAATGCTTTGGAACTCATATCTGATACCTTGGTGCTTTTCATTGATGGCTTTGTTTTGTACTGGTGAACTGCATGGTGCTTAGGATGTTCAACTTGAGGCATAATAGTGCTTGTCTCAGCTGGTGTAGATGGTTTGAAATTTCTCAGTAGCAATTGAAGCTGGTCTCTTGCTTCATCTCTTTCTTGGCAAACTCTCTTTAATAGCTTATACAAGTGTTTTATGGTCTCCTCATATTTTTTTATCTCAGTATTGGCTTCCATTCTTGCTGTTAAGAGTTCAAGCTTGGTGCAGAGAAGCCTGCGCTTAATCTCATCAAAGCTCTGGCAATACAAGACGCAGTTCAGTCACTGTGAAGCTGATAATTCAAAATATAATACACTACCAACAACAAGATATTAGAAAAAGTAATGCTTCTAGTTTTTTTAACTAAAAGATTGGGACACCAAGTTACAGGATCTGTTCAAAATGGTAAGATAACTAAATACTAAAGTTGTTTGGCATGTGAAGTCACAGGGTTTTAAAAAAGTAACAAGCGTTCAACTTCTTATCCCTTTGGTTAAAAGATAAAGCAATGTTTTCCAACTTTTTAATCGGCTTTTGTTTTTCATATTATTTCTTTGTACAATATTGTGAACGCACATAATTGTGTTCCCCAAATTACATGCATCCCCGTAGGATTAGTTATTCTGTCGTTATCATGTACATCTTAATTGGTTTGATTTGTCAACATCAAAATACAAACTACAGCTTCAATGGCAGATTTAGGAAGAAAAAAAAAAACATTAGTCCCTTACGCAAATAGAATCTACTCGGTGTCTCTATGTAATAAATAAACTTTGATATACCCCTAATGGAACATCCAATAATGCAAACGAAAGAAATTATTAACTGGAACCCAAATGAAATTAATGAAAACCCGTTTAGAATAAGAGTAGAAGAATCATTCACCTCATTCTCAGAAGAAATCATATTTAGCTAGCTATGAACAATGCACGTACGCCACCCAAGCGGGTTGGTTGTGTCTGAAATCTGAATTAGGGAAATGACTGCTAGTCTTGGGTTCAAGACAACCCACAAAAGTAAATGATAGGATTTTGAAAAAATAACAACACCTTTTTTATATTCTAATTTAACAGTCGTTGTTAAGTGTATCAACCTCTCCGTGGTTCTAGGGATGTTGTTTACCTATATATCATCGATATCCCCTTCTCTCATTTTTAATTGCTTGCGACCTATTTTTAGGACCTATATTTTAGAGACAGAATACGTGGCCAATTCCTAATTAGGCTTTGACAGATGAAACACAGTTTTGCTGAGTGTATCTGATATTATAGAACAAACAAACATTCAAATTCAACGTTACTGTTGGTTTTTGTGTATGAACAATACAACGTTTTCGGCTCCTACAGCAACCATATTGTACTTATTAGGTTTCAGTTATTTAGACCAAATTTTTCTTTGTAACAAATTGAATTTGACTCTACCCTCCTCTTGCCCGTTGTAACTCCCTTTGACGGGATGAAAAGCGCAAGTCATAAACTTTGTTGCATTTTGTTTGATACGTTCATAAATTACAATTTCCTATAACAGAATCAAATCTGAGTAACATAAAATTTTGATGATTACTATACTATTTCAAAGGATTTCAAATTCATAAATACCTATAGTAATAAAAATTATAAGAGCAACTATTTCCATCATTACGGACTTTTGCTGTTGCAGTAACTATTATGGACTTGAAAACTTAAGGAAGCCCAAACCGCGTTAAAAAAGTATGGCAAGGTTCACATGTAGTAATTATTTAATCACAAGATATGATTCTCTTCACAAAATATCATTTTTATAGATAGATGAACTTTACTTACATTAACTTGACTAAAAAATCATTTCGGCGTGACAATTTTTGTCCTTTCTTTTGTTTTGATGTTGATTTGATCCACATGCGCAACAAGTCTCTTGCTCTATTTGATTTCCAACTTTTCCTTCGTACACCTAAATATATTAAATCATACGTTAATAGACATTATATATATATATATATAGTTCACGACGAGAATATGTAAAAAAGTTTAACCAAAAATCAATATTTTTAACCCCTAAGGAAGCTCAATTAGCAACTGAGCTTGCTTCAAAAGATTTGCTTAGGTAGGGATTCAAATACAAAAAAAAAAAAAAAATCAATATTTTTAAACTTATTAAAAAGGAAGTTTGTAACTAGTTTACAAGCTAACTCGACTTAATGCTAATCATAATTAGATTATTATATCATATGTGCGTCATTATCACTCACACCTCCAACAATTTGATTATTTTTATTGATTTCATTTCACATGTTTTAAATTATTCTCTAAGTTAATTGTAATATTCAATAAATAAAAAACAACAAATGAGCAACGTGGTTTATTAAGAGTGCGATTAATTAATGTTTTAGTTATTATAAAAATATCATCATTTTGGTACATTTGAGTAGCTAATATAAAGATATCAGGATTAATCAAAATGTTACTTCTCATCAAATAAATTTGGGTAATCTTGATATAATATCATATACAAAAATTATTCCTGGTGTGTTGTCTCATAATTTTATAACTTATCATGATTAATTAAGGGGTTTAGTATTTGTTCTTTTAAAAGACATAGAGTTATATTATTTTAAATGATAAAAGACACAAATAATAAAAATTATGAAAAAAATCATTATTTTTTTTAATTTTAAATAAAAAATATTAAATGATATTAATCAAGAGAGTTGGTAGATAATCAAAATGTAAATATAGGGAACTTTCAGCGTTGTGCTGCGGCGGAACGAAGTCAAAACGAGGGAGAATCGAATAGCCGCCACCATTTGAAAGTGCAGCGATGGCCATAACCGCCACCATTTCTCTTCCTCTCACCTCGCCCACGCGCCGCTCTCTTGCTTCCGTCAATCACCTTCGTTCTTCTTCTTCCAGATCCATTTTGGTCATACCTCAACGCACTTCCAAATACTCCCATTCTCGCCTCGTTGCTGCTTCCTCCATGAGCATCGATGCGCCCGTGAAAACCTCCTCTACTTCTTTCCTCCACCACAGAGAAAGTGGCTTTCTCCATTTCGCCAAGTATCACGGCCTCGGAAACGACTTCGTTTTGGTGAGTCTATGTTCCACTCTCACTCTTCTGATCAAATAGTCGTTCGGTTTTAACGAAGTTTTTTGCTGTTACGAGTGGTTTTGAATAGATTGACAATAGAGACTCTTCGGAGCCAAGGATCAGTCCAGAGAAAGCTGTGCAAGTGTGTGACCGTAACTTCGGTGTTGGTGCTGATGGAGTTATCTTTCTCTTGCCTGGCATCAATGGCACCGATTATACAATGAGGATTTTTAACTCTGATGGTAGTGAGCCTGAGGTAATTCTTCTTGCGAATAGATTTGTTCATGGTCTTGATTGAATAATGGATTAGTTTTGTCATTGACAAGTTCACTCTTGTTTCTTACTTCGACACTTTTCTCTCTAGATGTGTGGCAATGGAGTGCGATGCTTCGCTAAATTCGTTTCTCAGCTTCAGAATTTACAGGGGAGGCATAGGTATCGTCGTTTTCTAGTAGTTCTTTCTGAAAATTTTCTGTTGTTTTTACCATGGTCTCTGACCGTTTTGCTTCTTAGGTCTTATTGCATGTGATATTGTGTTTTTTGGGCAATTTTTCATATGTGTAATGAATGTAAGTAAATAAAACAATTATTTTTAAAGATAGAATTTACTTATTAGATAATATTGGAAATGAAGATAATAAATTGATGATGATTTTTGACCATGGTCTTGTTGCCACCTCAATCATTATCAATATATATTGATGAACTTCTTGAAGTTTCATCCAACAATTTATTTTCATGCTTCGCAGTTTTACTATACATACTGGTGCTGGGCTGATTGTTCCTGAAGTCTTTGAGGATGGAAATGTACGTTGTTATTATGTGGCTAATTTTTGCAATTTACTTATTGATATGTGATATTGTTTAAAGGCATCAGCTCATGCTGCTTCCAAGGTTCCTTTTTATGTACTACTCTGAATCAGTGAATTGGTTTAACGTGAAGTAGGAATTTTCTTTTTGTCACTTATGTGGTATTGGTTCTCTTTCTGTAGCTTGATATAGACAATAATACTATCTGCTTCAGGTCAGAGTTGATATGGGGGAACCGATTCTTAAACCGTCAGATGTGCCTACTAAATTACCTGAAAATAAGGATCATGCTGTTGTTAAAGCGGAGCTAGAAGTTGATGGAGTTATCTGGAATGTGACTTGTGTTAGCATGGGAAATCCACACTGTGTAACATTCAGTAGAGAAGGAAGTCAGGTCTTCATTTTTTACATACAATAGATGTTTCACAGTTACAATTTCCTTTTATATATTATATGGTGCATTCTGGATCTATTTAAAGGAATGAAACACTGTGTAGGAGTAGGAAGAAAAGACATTGGTCAGTGATCTGTAAGATGATATTACATACAAATTCATAGAGATTCTAACGTACGGAACTAAATATGTAACCATATCATACAAATCTCTACGTATTTTTTTACTAAATTTTTTTAATCACATCCTTAAATGTCAGCTTTCATCTGTCTTACAACAGTTTTAAAAGAACTTAATCATTTTTCTGCTTTTGCCACATACATCATATTAGTTTTAATCCTTGTTGCAACAGAATTTGCTTGTTGATGAATTGAAGCTAGCAGAAATTGGCCCAAAATTTGAACATCATGAGGTGTTCCCTGCACGGACTAACACAGGTAAGATCTGTCTATTTGTATTATTGGAATATGATTGTCAACTTTCTTTAAGATGTTGTTTATCTTATGCCCCCCATCAATTTTTTATTTCTCTCGCTAGGGCCTTTTAAATTTTTTTTCTTCCTGCCAATAGCAAGTCACATGAACATTCTGCCAAGATGGAAACTTACTGACTTGTAATTATTCTTAGTTTAATGCTTGAGAACATGATACTGTTTGTATTTTATGGAACTTGGTCAGACTGTATGTCTAGCTTAGGTTGGGAGAGGTGTGCTTGTGGCTTTCCCTTGTGTAGAGCATACAATATTATCCAATTATGTCCATCTTTGATGCATTATTCATTCCCCCTGCATTTTGTCCACCAATTTCCGCCCTCAATGTTTTGATTCCTTGAGCTTGACCCAAATGTCCTAAATATGTGTAGTGAGATCCATGAATCTAATCCTGTTGCAATTCCTTTCCCTCTTTAATGGTATGGTCTCTTGTGATTTAATGTGCAGAGTTTGTGCAAGTTCTGTCCAATTCTCACCTGAAGATGCGTGTTTGGGAGCGTGGAGCAGGTTAGAATATCTAATATCCAAGATGTGTGTCTGATTAGTATTGTTAGTATGGTTAGTTAGGATAAGTCCAAGGATCCTTGTAGGGGAGAGCTCATATTTTTTTTTTTTTAAACTGTTTTTGCAGGAGCTACTCTAGCCTGTGGAACTGGAGCCTGTGCTACTGTTGTTGCAGCAGTTCTCGAGGGTCGTGCTGGGAGGGTAAGCTTACTAATTTACTTGTAACAATTTTTTCTTATAGATTTTATCATAATCTATAATAAATGTGATTGTCGCTGTTTATTTTAAGCAATGTCTTCTTGTAACCATGAATCCTTCCTATAATATTTGTTGAAAAATTATCCTCCTTGGGGATTTCCTTTGGTCTGAGTCCCTATAAGCTTGTGTTTGAATTGGTCTCTCCTTTTTTTCATAATTTATTCAACCATCAATTCTTCATTGCAAATTCTTTTGAAAATCAAACCTATCGGTTCTGATTCCATGAAAGTGTAGGTTTATGTAAAAGAAAAATTGCTTGGATCTAAATATAAAGGGTGTTTGGGTTCTTCCTTGTCTGCTGCTATCTTTAGAGATGGAGGTGGTTTTGGAACCATTTTTCTTGTCCATGAGGGTGAGGTGATGGTTGTAGCTAATTTCCTTCCTTGAAAGATCATGGTTGTTAGGGAAAGGGCTTATTATGGTGGTACAAAGTTGGTTTACCAATATTTTTGTTGAGACGGATTTCCAAAGGTTTGCAACAGATCTAGATAGGGGTTTCTTTGATGCTAAGGAGTAGGCTTGCTTCTTAAGGATGTTAAAAAACTCCTCACTGGTTTCTCCTTTGTAGTCGTAAAGTATGTCCAGAGTAATTGTAACCTGGCAGCTCTTAGGCGAGCTCAAAATTCTATAGGAAAGTACAAGGTCTGTTGGTGGGTAGAGGAGACCCCTACATTTATTTGTTACATTATTTTGGAAGATGGTTCTAATTAAAGGCTGCTGGCAGTTTCTGACATTTTGGTGCATATATCATTAAACTCAAAGGGTGTTAAGGCTCCTTGTTGGCTTCTGCAGTAGTGTCTTTTGTGGTCTGATGCTGGTACAATACAGCTTATGTTAGTGGCCCTGCTTTGTAAGTTATATTGATGATCTAGACCTGGAAAAATTGTGTCAGCTAGGTGGTAGAAGTTTAGTTGCATCAGTCGTTCTAATCTCATGTTACAGATATGTTTAGTATTATTTATTGAGATTTGGTCTTTTTAGTCTTCGGATGGTGCAGACATATTCTTGCAAATACCTATATAATCAAAGGGTGTTTGGGTTCTTTCTTGTCTGCCGCATTGGTGTATCTTTTGGTCTGGTGCACGTACTGGCCCTGCTTCATTAGTGGTGTGGGTGGTCTGGACTGGGTAAAATCTTGGTCTGCTAGATGGTAGAAGCATTGTTGGCGGTTTAGCTATTTGTAGCATGCCTTGTTCAGTAGCATTATGTACAGATCTGCATTGTACTATTTGTAGAGATGTGGTGAAGCATTTTTCTACCAGAGGCAAATCATCATTGTTCTTCTTGGAGGCTCGAGTTGGTAGCAATAGCGAATGTGCATTGGTCGTAGTTTTCAGTTTGTCTTAGAGTTGATATTGGTGTTGTATCAGAGCCATCATAGTATGGCTTTGGATGGTGTGATTTCTTTCGAAAAAACATTTCAGCTGAAAAAAATAATAATGCAAGTGCCATCATTATTTTTAACGTGTCAATTTGTCACAGAACTGCACGGTTGATCTACCTGGAGGGCCTCTGCAGATTGAGTGGAGAGAGGAAGATAATCATATCTATATGACAGGCTCAGCAGAGCTGGTTTATTACGGATCTTTGCCCCTTTGATATGTCAATACTTCGGGGAATTATGTATTGCTGAATAATAATTAAAGACTTGTTTTGTACTACATGTTTTCACCTCGTATTCAATATCTTCCAATTTAGTTGAATGAGTCACAATAAATGTATACCCGTACAATAAGTAATGAAGCAGTGAGAATTATACGAACTATTAAAATTAGGAATGATAATGTGAATACCAAAAGGTGCGATAGGCAATCGGGTCAATGGCTTTTTCATGATATTGGGTTTCAAGATTATACAATATAGATCAAATGCTGTGTCGGGGATCATGAGGGCAAAGTTAAAACACTCAAAATTTGGAATTCAAATGCTGCAAGATGTGGATATATTTTCAAAGAACGATCCATAACTTAAAACTATTGTTTTAAACTCCGGCACCATTTCGCTTGTACATGCAATTGTATAAAATATAATAGAGGTTATCAACTTTTAAAAAATAGAATATGATATATTAATTATCAATAGTAAAATAGTTTAAATTTGTACATTATCGACAGATAAATGGTATTACATTATTCTTGAAACTTTTTGCTTTAATTTTTTTTATAAAATTTTAGAAATACGTTTTTTTTAAAATAAAAATAGATAGTAATAGGCTTCCAAGTTCCAAGCTTCATGTGAGACCACAAACCTTAAGAACTCCTTCAAGTTTGAATATTTCAGGCTCAGGGTCCACCAACACAGATATCTAATGGGGCGTATGCGGCGTTTGGTTGAGGAAATTTTTTTTGAATAGTAGAGAAATGTAATAGATAGATAAATGATTGGAAAGATAGATAAAGTGAGATAGGTAGAAAAATGTAAAAAAAAGTTGTTTGGTAGGAAAAATTTTTACTGGGAAAATTAGGTAACTTTATGAAATCAACAGTGCATTAAAAGTTAGATAATCGGTTTTTCGAAAAATCCCACCTTCAAATTGGGTTTCTAAACCGTGCGGATATCTATGTTTCTCATAAATCCATACAAATTGGATAGATGGGTTTTTGGTGAAAATACGTTGAAACAAACATGGTGTTTCTAAAAGTCATACTTGAGAAACATAGATATCCGCTGAAAAGCTCCCAACCAAACAGTAGCCGTTGGCAAAGCAATGCTTTCATTTTCTCATTTTGTAATATGCTTCCGAACAGTAACAGAGGGAAGATTAAAATCATAGAAAAACAAAATCAGAGAAGTTATCTTTCTCAGATTCCCCGATCTTCCCGTGAGTACCTTAATTTCCTAGAAAAGTTGTTTGGTTGAACTATGTCTATTTTTTGCATTTGAATGGTCCTCATCCTGATAGTAGTGTAGGGTTTGTAATGACATGGCACCATTCCTTGCCCCAATTTAAGAGGAGTTGATTAGAACTCACTTCGTCAGGACTAGGATAAAGACTAATGTCCAAGTTTTGCTTAGATGCAGGTCACTTAACTGCTGTTTCCTTCATTACCAAGCCTATATGTTATTTTTCTGATCGAGGATTTGGAGGTGTATGTTGTGGTGGGATGTATGAAATTACACAGTTGTATATTCAGAATGGATTTAATTTTAATCCACCCACACTGACTATTACTCAATTATATTGACCATGACTACTGCCAAAATTAAACTCATTCAAAATTGTTTGAAACTGAATTTGATGATAGCAGGCTTCTATTTTCAGATTAAGGGTTGATAGTTGAGTTCATTATTAGCTAATAGCTATGCTTGACATTTTTTTTTAAAAAAGAAGAAGAAATCATGTTTATTTTACACTTCCATTGTGCGACCTTAAAGTTTTTTCTTCCAGATAAGTTATTTCATAAGAAATCTTCTTCATAGAATTTGAAAACGAAGTTGAGCATAGCTCATCGTTTTTATTTATAATTAAAAACCAAATATCTTTCTGAAAAGAGCTCTCAATAGAAACTGTTCCGAATGGCCCAAACACTAAAGCGGCCCAACTACCCAGGCCCAATACCGGGCGTGAACCCGCGTCAGCCCTAAGGGCTAACATGGACCCCCTCAACCCCCAACGTAGCAGCAGGTCCAAGACATACACCAAAATGTCCCATCTTGGAACGCTAGCCATCGAAGGCGACTACCACAGACACCGCAAAGGGAAACTCCCCCTTTGCCCGGTGCTGACACCGCCAGAACACAGAGGGCGCAGCACTGCCACAATGACAGCGCCAGCATGCCTAACACTGCATCATGGGAGTAAATCCCAAGGAGAGTTGACCTCCCCCTCACCAACCCACACCATTTCCCCTATAAATAGCCCCCATGGGCACACCTTAGAGGTATCTTATGTATCGTTATATTGCCCATTTACTTGAGTCATAGTATCCTTTTGCTTATTATCTATTCACTGTTTACGCTTGGCTTTATACTTCTTAGCCTGGTTTGTATCAGTGCTAAGGGTATTATCCATACATTGACTCATCTCCATCGGGAACACAGTGGGCTTATAGATCTCATCGGTACAGAAACTATAAAGATTTTGGCTGGATTTCCCTTCTCACATCCTAAATGATATAGGCTGTAGTTTGATTCTTCCGACGTTTTATTTATTTAATCTTGCAGGTCAGAAAGAAAGGATGCATGCAGAGAATCAGAAAAGGATCTCGAGTTTTGGTTCTCTACGAAATGAAAGCTTGAAAGATCTGCATAAGAACATTATGGGGTCTATTTCTCAACAACAGAAAAAATTAATATGCATGGAAAATCGTGTCAGCTCCTATTTTGCAAGTAAAATGTGATGTAAGATAAATGAAGAAATATTGTTTCACTTACATGTTTCTCTGGGCAGCACAAGCTCGAAAATCAAGGATCAATCAAGTGTAGGAGATTTATACTTCAGGAATAGGAACCCTGAAGGAGCTGACCAATACATTGCATATAAAAGCTTTTTATCTGATATGGAGCAACTGCAACCTAAAGCTTCAGCACAAACATTGGCAGCTGAGAAGGTAAGAAGTCAAGTGATATCGGCTGTTTTACTGTAATGCCAAGTTTCATCTCACACATTTTCTGTTCAGAGAATGCTAGAAGAAATATAAAAAAATACATTAAATGCTATGTTGATCTGAAATTGATTATGCCGTGCTTCCTTAAGAGTTCCTTGCTACAAGGATGTTGTATGCAACATCCATAATTCTCTTGATGAGCACAAACAGCAGTTAGTATTCTCCATTCAACAAGAGGAAGTAGGTCCATTTGTAACATTTCTTTCTTTTGTTTTGCTTTAACTTATTTTCTCATAAAAATATTACATATATGAATATATTAACCATGCAATATGAACTTCATAGATCAATGTAGGGATTACAACAAAGTATGACTTCAGCACGAGTGGTTTCAGAGGCAACTGTGAACTTCTTTAATGACATTCATCAGCATTCTTCAAGAGTCCTAAAAATTATTGAAGAATATCAAATTGAGACATCCCCCCAATTAGTTAATTCTTGAAAGGAGTTCAAGGTAAGCAAACGTTAAGTTGTGCTCCCCTGATATCTACGTCAGACTCATGGTTGGTTTTCTTCCTTTAACCTGAAAGAGGAAGAGGCTGCAAAAGAGGAGGAGCAGAACTTAGAGAGAAAGTTGCAGCAGTTTTGGCAGCCTTGATATCCAAGAGAACTGCTACGGAGAGCAGTCAGCTTTTTCTTCTTTGGTTGTTGTATACTTTATAGTATCACTGACTTCTGAAAAATGCTGTAGGTCTCAGTGAATTCAAGAAATATGCAAGGCACAAGTATGCTACACAGTCTAAGAGATGCACAACATGCAGAAAGTTTCTAAAGGTGCTACTAAGGAGGTTAATGAATATGGAGACAAGGTGAAAAATCATTTCATGCAACAGATTTTCTCAGCAACTGATTTCAAAGCGGTAATGGAAAATTGCCTACAGGGGTGTTGAGTTTTTGTTTCTTAAGTTATTAGGAGAGAGTAATTATTTTATTTTATTTGCTGATATATGCACATCTGCTTCCATGTTATGCAGCTAAAAGACAGTGCACTATTCTGGGGAGTAGTGGTAAAATGCCTAGTTTTCCCGGAATGATCTTTACGAGAGCAGTCTTGTAGAGATAGATAGAATCCATAGTGAAGAAAGTTCTGCTATTTCTTGTCATAGATTTATTGTTGTTCTTATAATTTGAATGTCTGTAACTTATATTGATGATTAACAGAAAAATATATTGACAAATTGTGCTCTGAATAAAGAATTTGTTTCTGGATCCATTATCTATGGATTCAGATAATGATGCCGGAATCAGCTGCCTGCAGGCAGATGCGAATTGTAGTTTAAAATTCTTGCATTTATGGTTTGCAAATCCCTTCTTCTTCTTCTTTTTTACTAGCTGAGGCCTGAGGGAAACAAACTCATACTTTCAGGTGCGCTGATGCTGGACCATGAGAATAAGAAGGAAATTGATTCCATGACTACACAGTGGTTGGAGCAATGTTAATTCTGCACAAGAGAAACATGGCGAAAGGATATTTGGTATACATGGAATCTTCATCTTTACTTTGTGTAGTTGTTGGATGTGTAATACACCTTTCAAATAAATAGAAAATAAAATTGTATTTTTCAATAGATTGACTATAGTTAATGGATGCACTTTTATTTCATGAATTGTTTAACCTCATAGTAAGACATTACTATATGAGGTTATTTTTTTGCTGTACTTTCTGGTTATTCTAGTGTCTTGTGAACGAACCAAAAGTTAAATGTTGTTCCTGTTCTTTGTGAACATGTTGATCAGAATACAGGTTCAATGTCTCAGAAAATAGATATAGTAGTCCCCAGCCCTGCATCTATTGAGGAGATGAGGACACACATCACAGAAGGCAATTCCTCGGTGAAAAGATCAAAAATGGATCCAAGCAGAAAGCAAAATTCCACGCTTAGAAGCATCTCCAAATCGAGCTCCGTTTGCAGATTAAATTTGACTTTAGTGTTAGACAGTTAGTTGGAGTATGGAACTACCCTTGCATCCTGTGTAATATTTTCCTTCCAACCCCTATAAAATAATAAGTGATAGTTGAAATTTCCATTAACTAATAATAATTAATTATTCTATTTTCATCTTAACTTGCTTGAGGTATGCTTATACCTGCAAGACGCTTTAATTTTTTTCCTCTCTCTACGTTGTGTAGAATCTTCATGGGTTTTCCAATCTGCTGCACATATTTGACTGCGTGTAAAGTTTCACTATCTAGATAATATGACGGATTTCGCTGAAAGCATAACTCAAGTTTTCAGATGGTTTTACCAACAACCAAAGCAGTGGGAACACAAAGAAAAAACCAACTTCAAATCCCTCTCTAGCATACTAAATTGACACAGACTTTGCCATATTCAAGAGAGACCAACAAGTATTGTTACACAAATTTTATGGTGTTTCCCGGGTTTCGATCCGAAGTTGCTTGCCCTTTTCTTCTTTGTTACAGTAGAAAATGCATAGAATCTTCTTTATTAAAATAAATAAATAAATAAATAAAAAGACAATCGAAGTTTCATGGAACCAGTCACTCACGGATTGTTCACTCGGTGGCTTAACACGGCTGAAAAGTGAAAGTGAGAGCGTAAGGCATAGCGTGAGCCTCACGTGGACTAATATTTGATCATTAATAAGGGCATTCACATCATCACGAGTTGAGTCAAAAAAGTAGTCCAACTAATTATTTTTTTATTATAGCTTCAACAAATGGACTTTTTCATCGGATTTTGAACAAAAATCAGTGTCCCCACACGCCACGTTATCTTGACTCGTCTCCATCCGCATATAAATACCAAAACCCCCCAAGAGTTCCTCATCCTCACCATCAACTCTCATATATCATATTCTTTCTGGACACTGCATATTTCATTACACTCACAACGAATTTTCTTTTTTTTTTTCTTGTGCTAATCTGTTCGGATCAATATTATTAGCCATGAAGAGACAAAGAAACAATGAAGGGTCAGAGAACTCAGGTTTGGAAAATTGTCTGATGTTGCTCTCTTGTCCACAAGAAAACAAGAAGGCACAACAGAAAAGTTTTGGGCATGTAGAATTTGAGTGCAAGACCTGCAACCGCAAGTTCTCGTCCTTTCAAGCCCTTGGTGGCCACAGGGCTAGCCACAAGAGGGTGAAACTTGACGGGGAAGAACTCAAAGCACAAGCCAAATCTCTGAGCTTGTGGAATAAACCCAAAATGCACGAGTGCTCTATTTGTGGCCTGGAATTCTCACTGGGCCAGGCACTGGGAGGCCACATGAGAAAGCACAGAGCTGCCATGAACGAAGGGTTTCCTTCTATCAACCAAGTCATTGCAAAAACCCCAGTTCTGAAAAGATCGAGTAGTACGAGGATTATGTGCTTGGACTTAAACTTCACGCCTCTGGAGAATGACTTACTGTTCGGAAAAAAGTCAACACCAGTTCCTCTTTCTTTGTTCTGATCAACTTTACATTTTTACTCTTTCTTGTCACATGTATTCTTTCCATTTTTTTATGTAAAAATTCATTTATTCTTCTCTTTGAATTGTTAGCTTTTGAGGTATATAATTTCATTTCAATTAGAAATATTTTTAGTTGTGTTACGACATAACTTTTGTTTTTTTATTTTTATATCGTGAAAAAAGTAACATATTCACTTCAGGAAAGTAACATATAAATGACCTTAAACTTTTAAGCTTATGAAAAACAGGGGATTCAATCTCCGATTCTAACAATAGAAGATTTTTTTTTTTTTTTTCTGAAATATTCCCCGTGTTAAGTGGAAAACTAATCCGTTGAAGATAGATCCTTAGACAAATATAAAATTATTAATTTAATCTAATCCAAAAATTTAAGTACTTGGATTAAAATAAGAGGAAGGTTATAGTTACAACTTTTTTTTTTACAACCTCTTACAACCATATATTATAATCGTTGATTTTCGTCAATCAACGGTTGTTATTTATTATGAATTAATAATTAATTAATAAATTTAATTTGCGAAAATCATAACCGTTGATTGACGGAAATCAACGGTTATGATATATGGTTGTAAGAGGTTGTAAAAAAAAAAGTTGTAACTATAACCTCTCCCTTAAAATAAACTATTATTTACAACTTTTAATAATTCATGATAAAACTCAAAATTATATATTTAAAAAATCTGAACTTCTTTAACACATATCAACACATGTTGGTTAAATAAAAATCCTTTATCTATTAAGAAACTGACATTAAAATTTAGGAGTTTGTTTTTCTGCAGTTGCAGAAATCAAAATATACATTTCACTTGTCCTTAATAATTCGTGCCATAAGTTTTTTTATTTTTTATTTTTTTTACTTAACGAGTCTCACGTATTCTTTGTTTTTATGACATAAAGTAAAATTTATACAATAACATGAGATGATTTTTACTCTAAAATTTATGATTGCTTGTGTAATAATATATAAGAGAAATCCACTTATTCTTTCACTGCAGAAGAAATTTTGTATAATAACTAATTTCAATTATGTAATACGGATAATACATAATGATAATTTTAAAAATTATTTATTCTCTTTTCTTAGAAAACTATCGGTTGATGTAGAAAAAAAAATAATTTTAATATTATAACTATATATTAATCGTAATACATAATTATAATTGGTTGGTGCACAAATTTTTTTGTGTTGGGGACCAAAATATAATAGGTATAATAGCTTGTAATATCCGTTTTTGTCTTATGCAGCCCATGCAGGCTGCAGCGTGTTGAATAATTTTGTCGCTGCTTTTTCTAGAACCTCGTAGAAAACGGCAAGGCTTACTGAGTTGAACTCTTGTTTTCTTTTATTTTTAATTTTGTTTTTCTTGCCTGTACGTAGTTCAACTTTTTCATTACTTGTATCATTGTATGTTCCCTTTTTTTTTAGCGAGGGTGCGAGTTTCTGTCATGAGATTCTTTTTTTTTTCTTCAAATTGCCAAAACAAGAGAGTCAATAATTGAGGAATCACACCAGAATAACAAAATGAGAATATATTTTATATTATTAAACTTTTGTAAATTCATGCAAAAGTATAAAAAAAAATAACAAATTAATTTGCATACAACAATTTATTAAAATTGTACTTTTTTTTATTCATACAACATTTATTTTTACTGATAATAACTCAATATAGTTGGGCTACATTGCTATTCTGAGTAATAATTGGGTGTTGTTTAATTAATTATGGTATAATTATATCAAAAAAAAATTAATTATGGTACATATTGGAGAGAGGTGAAAAAAAAAAAAAAAAAAGGAACCCAGCAATACTTCAGTTATTTCATTTGAGGTTTGACCAACCATTTCACATATGAATATGCTTGAGTGTAAAAAATAGCAGAGGCAGATCTCAAACTGTTCGACCAACCAAATTGGGAACACAAAAGAAAAGTATGTTTATGCGACTGGTTTAATCGAATCCGTCGATGCACTCGTTGCAGCACCCGGAATTTCAACGCAGCACATACATGTTGAACAAAGTCCAAACAGCTAAATAAGATCGTATATACAATGGGAAATCTTTTTCTAATACAATTGGAGATGAGTTATCTTATATTAATGAAATAAAATTATAAAAAGAACTCATAAATAATTGGAGAAAAAAAAAATAGAAGTGAGACTAACCTTTGTTACTTGTGTAAATATAACTCATATACAATATACTATACTGTAATAAAGTAATTGCTATAAATAAAGGTGGTTGGTTGTTCGGAAGTTCCTTCCCCTCTTCTTTGAATTGCTTTCAATGGCTTCCCAATTTAAAGTTGTATTAGTTGGCATGAAGAATATATTCTCCGAAACCATGTCAAAGTTTCAAGGGCATTGAGTGGGCGAAAATCCCATAAGCAAGTACGCAACGCAATTATGTAAGCAGCAAGGGCATTGTGGTCTTCACAACAAGTCAAAAGCAGGTCCAGCAAAAACCAATCAAAGAGTCACAGTCAAAGCACGTGCCAAATCTCTGGGCTTGAGGATGGAGAATAAACCCAAAATGCACAGGCACTGGAAGGCTACAAAAGAAAACACAGACATGCCAACTACAAAAAAAAGAAAAGAAATAGAAAACATAAATATGCCGTCAACTGTTGTATAATAATATAAACCATTTAAAATGTTTTTAATCATTCAACAATTTAAACTTTTGAGTTAAATTAATTCATATCAAAGTTTCAATGATTACGATTTACGAGTTCTCGAGTTCAATCCTCATCGACTTCACTTTCAAATAAAATTGAGTAAAGCACAACGTAAATAAAAAATTGGTCATTTACAATATTCACGCTTTAGCCCAAAAGATTTTTACTTGAAATATTATGTTAAAGAATAATATATCTGCCCTCTGTTAAAAAGATCATCATCCACCAATTTAAATTTTTGAGTTAAATTGATTTTTTTATCAACAAACACTCCTCCACAAATCAGGTTGTTGAAAAAGTTGAAGTCTTAAAAAGATCGAGCACTAGCTTGGACCTCAACTTAACACCTCTGCAGAATGACTTGAAGTTATTGTTCGGGAACACTGCACCTACAGACTATATATAGTTAATATATTTCTCTCCCTGGTTGAGCGAGGAGGGGTGATCATTCCCTCTAAGTTTATACACAATTTCTAATCTTTTAGTCATATCTAAAAAATTATAAAAATATTTAATTTTGAACATTATTTTTATTTTTATCATATAAATAATTATAATTTCAAATAAAAATATATATTATAATTTCATCCAGTCATCTAGAGGTGATAAACGAGCCAAGAGCCTTTCAGGAGCCGTTGGCTCGGCTCGTTGTTGGAACCAGACTTGGACTTGTATAAAAGTTCGTTTAGTAGAAAGGCCTCATGCTCCAATTCAAAAGCTCGGTCTTGGAGCCTCTCAGGCTCGCCTAGTATATTAATTTTTATTTTTATTTTTATTTTTTATACTATTTGTAATAGCTCTCTCTCTCCTCTCAATCCATTTCACTCCTATTTTATTAGTTAAACAGACTTTTTGCTGTTGGGATATACATTGAATTTATGAATATTTAGGAATTACTAGTATTGTTGATTGTATATTTTGTTTGGATAAATTTTTGTTGTTATCTTTTTCTAACAGGCTAAATTAGGCTTTTATTTTTTGTAAATAAGGCAGGTCACGGGCCGATAATTATATTCGTAACAAGCTTGGTAAGGTCGACACATTTAAACATAGGCTTAGCCTTTTAAGACCAAAGCTCGGCTCGACTCGGCCCGTTAACACCCCTACTGTCATCCCCTCACAAAATAGTTACGCCGCTGTAATTTTTTGAATCTATTTTAATTTCTATTATTTGCTTCTTCTTTTTTCAAATTTTCACGTAAATGATGGATTGTTTTTTCCTTGGATATTATCCACCGTTTAATCGATGGATAATATTAAAAAAAAAAAGATGCATTTTCAAGCACTCCAATTCAAAATCACTAATTGAGCTAGAAAACTTTTTTTTTTTTTTGGTAATCAGCTAAAAACAACCCTTTCTTTTTGTTGGTAATAACAACCTTTTATCAGTTGATTGACATGTTTGGAGATAATAATTTTTTTCTTACTTAATTTGTTCCTTGATAACTCGCTATTTGTTGAATTATTATCATATTTGTATAATGCATCGTTAAAAAAAATAAAATTGTAGCCTTTCTGTTTGTGTTGCTAAGAGTGGCACTAGTCAATTGAATAAGAATAACATTAAATTTCTACGTCGAATTTTAAAATAACAAATATATAGAATTAATATTTCTTATATTGTAGGAGATAATTTTATCTCTTACACACACATAAAAATGTGTGGAGTCCATGTGAGGTTATGTGAAGAGAAAAGAGAGAAAAATAAAATATCGGTTCTACAAATTTTGTATGTATGTGTAAAAGATAAAATTATTTTCATATGAAAAACATTAATCCCCACAAATATAGGAGGTTAATTAGGAAAAAAATAATTATCTCCAAACACGTGAATCAACGGATAAATTTGTTTCCACTTAATTAGCGTTCTCGAGTTCGAATATCTTAAAATAAATTTTTTTTTTAAATTATCCATAAATGAACGGATAAATAATATTAAGGGAAAAAATAATCAATTATTTACACCAAAGTCAAATATTTAGCCAACTGTGCCCAGCCGAATAACAATGCATGTAGTGAATGTTATATTACATAGATTTTTTCCCTTCACAAAATGTAATGCCCCAAACAACAATGATATGGGGAGACTAGATTTTATTAAGCCTCCTCCTCCACTCATATTATCCAATATGAGTTTTCCTTATCCCACACCCCTTCGTATTTTCAATCAACTTCTTATTCATTAAATTCTACATATTTCTTATTTTAAACGCATACATTTTTTTTCTTTTTCTTTTTTAAAAATAAAATCAAGGCTAGCTATACAATTCACGTAGTAATAACTTATCCATTTTCTGTATAAAACATAACTTAATATCTTCAGGGTGGCATAAAGGAGTGGTTATTTGTCGAATGTCTCTTAGAACGAACTAAAGTTTTACTTGTATACGTTGTGGATTTAACATTTTGAGACTTCCCTGGCAGTTAGGGGTGTAAATGGCCAGGCTGGTCCAGCCCAGTTTACGGCCCGGCCTACATTGAGCTCAGCTCAGGTTCATCTTTTCAGAAAAGTAGAGTAGGCTTAGGCTTATAAAAAAGTTTTTTTTAATAAATAGGCCATAGGCCAATTTTGTCAAGCCCGGCCTACAGCCTTGTAGGCTGGCCTATTTAATTTATTAAAATAAAATAATACTAAAATATTTATTTTATGAAAGGAAAACTTGTTTAATCTCTCCAAATTTTACATGTTGTTGCAGCTTAATACCATGGAGTAATGGGTACCTTTCTGGATTATGATGTTACTGATGAAGATCTTTCAATAATACTCTTCTTTCCCTTGTCTTGACGGTGGTTTAAAGATTTTTAGATGAATGACATTCTCTTGTAGACTTTATTTTAGCATCCAATAATTGTATTTTTCTTATTTTTCTCATTTCTTTGACTCTTCTATTCCTCTATGATATACATTCTAGAGCTGAGGTATTATGTTGACTCTTTTTTGTTTGTCATTTTTTTTATGAGAAGTACTAGTTCATGCATGAATGGAACTTTCTTTGTTCTATACAATTATTTTTTTTGCTTAGTATATATAGTGGGAGGCCTACAAAGCCTGTCGGCCATGTAAGGCTTTCTTATTTTTGATAATGGGCCGGGCTTGGCTTACAAATAAAGTCTTTAATAGGTCAGTAGGTCAGATAGGCTGAATTTTTTTTGACGTAGGCTTGGGCCAGGATAGCCAAAGTCCAGTCCAGCCTAGTCCATTTACACCCCTACTACTGGCAGCTGCAGGCACGGTGTTCCACTCTTGTATTCTCCCATATGCGCCAATAGCTACTTTGGTTTGGCTTTTGACTGTGTTTCAAATTTCACTATCTCTAGTTTTCAAAAAAAAAAAAAAAAAAAATTCACTATTTCTACATTCTCTTAAACGTGTCGGCGCGAATGTTTGTCAGTGTGAAAATGAATATCTTGATGCTATGTAGTACTATACCACATGCATAGCTTGATCATGAAATCAAAAACAAAAACTAGTATAAGGAGAAAAGTATCCCCATTCTGATCAAAGGCATTATTTTGTTGCACGCCAAATTAGTATATGTCAACGCACGCAGTCCATCTTGAAGCTTTAGAGAATTCAATCAAATATTTGTTATAAGATATATATTATTACTTTCTGAGTCGTAACATATAAACAAGTGGCTTGCGCACACAAAAAAGAACTGAGGGGCATAATTCCCAAGTTGCTTGGCTGATTACTTATTAACTTTATATATAATATACTAGAAAATTTCAGGACATTATGACTGCTTCAGCTGGCCAAAGCAACATCAACAAGTAACTCCCACGCGGTTGTTCTAGATTCATAAACCTGTGAGCGTAAGCCCCACGTCAGCAAAACAATTTTTCTGGAATAGCCCAGACACAACCATTACGCGAGCATCACAATTCACTACCAGAACGGTTTGGATTGGATCAGTTTTAGAAATAAAAATCATCTGATTCTATCCCTTCAATTTTATCATGTAATTATCCATTCGATTTAGATTTTTTTTCAAATCCGATCCAATTCAATCTAATTTTATTCGATTTGGATTGAATCGATTTTCGATTTTTTTAAAAGCATATGATTTGTATGGTGACTAATGTGTAAATAACATATCTTTTGTATGTATTGACTTTGTAAAGTTTATATGATAATTATTGTGCAATCTAAAAGTATTGTACAACAAAAAGTTGAATTATTATCTTTTACCTCCAACAAAAAATTTATAATATAGTTGACTGAGATACTACCCAAATTTTTATCTTATAGAGGAGATGTTATACAACAATAACTCATAATAAAAATATATTATGTATCTTACCAAGCAAAAGAAGCATAACATAGATCAAGCACAACCCACTTTTTCCAACATGATGGATTAATGGGTCTTGGATTAAGAATTTTGCTATATGATTTTTGGGATATGATTGAGAAAAAGTCCAAGTAGGTAGATGGTAAGGTTGGAGAATTATTGGATCAGTCTTTACCAATCGATCAAAAAATCAATCCAATCCAATTAAATTTTGCGATATTTTTTCGATTTTCGATTTTTCGATTTTCGGTTAATTCGGTTCGGTCACCGCGGTTTGGATTGGTTGATGAACCACTTATACAAAAGCACTGAGGGCATTCATGTCATTATCTTCATACGACTAGTCAAAGAGGCAGTCCGAGATCTGTTAACTGTTAAAAGTAAAACTCTTAACTTTCCTTACTTTTGAAGCATAGATTGTTGATAGAAAAGAGCCGCCATAAGTAGTTTATTTAAATTAGTCAAATTCCTTGACTTTGTTTATAGTATGGCTTATAAATATAAACCTCAATGTCCAAGTGTTATTCACCAATCACAACTCAATTCTAAATTCTTTACGTACTTCACCTTACATTGCATATTTTTATTTTTATTTTTGTTTATTCTACGTGCGTAACCATGAAGAGACAGAGAGATATTGAAGGATTAAAGAGCATAGATTTGGCAAATTGTCTAATGATGCTCTCTCGTCCCCAAGAAATCAACAAGCTACTGGAAAAAGGTTTTGGGCATGTGGAATTTGAGTGCAAGACATGCAACCGCAAGTTCTCGTCCTTTCAAGCACTCGGTGGCCACAGGGCTAGCCACAAGAGGTTGAAACTAGACGAGGATGAACTCAAAGCACATGCTACATCTCTGAGTTTGGGAATTAAAAAACCCAAAATGCACGAGTGCTCCATTTGTGGGAAGGAATTCTCTCTGGGACAGGCATTGGGAGGCCACATGAGAAGGCACAGAACTATCTTCAACGAAGAGTTTTCTTCAATAAAAAAGGTGGTTGCAAAATTACCAGTTTTGAAAAGATCAAATAGCACGAGGGTAATAACGTGCTTGGACTTGAACTTAACGCCGCTTGAGAATGACTTGAAGTTATTGTTTGGAAAGATGACTCCGAATGTTGATGCCTTAGTCTGATTCTTATTGTGTTGTTACATATAATTTCTCTTTTGTAATAACTAAATTGTATTTAATTAGACCTGTCCGATTTCTTTTGAAATCGTGTCTTGTATTCTTTCAATTTTTAACGTAAGAATTATTTCTTATTTTCTTCTCAACTTATATATTGCTTATAACGATAATCACAATAATGGAATAATCTTTCCCGTCTTCCAAAAATTTAAAAAATAAGGTTGAAGATAAATTTGTCTGCTGTCTTTCCGGGGAAGTTTTAACATGTAGAGAACTACTAGCTAGAAGAAGGCGAAAAGAAAAATCATTTTTGACTTTCAAAAACAGGCAAATTGATGAAGCGGAAAAAGGGGAAATGTATATCTTTCAGCCTTTCAAGACTCGAATATGGTAATTCTAAGGTCAGCTTTCAACAAGAACATTCTATTCTTGGTATAAGATCACTTGCATGTGTGTTAGCAGAACATTGTATTGGGATCGCTGGAAAGGTAATTAAAGAGAAAATATCTAATTGGTTTATTATTTATAAAGATAGGAAAGTGGTAAGTGGGAACAGACGCTAAAGTCGAACAGGGACTGCATTTGAGGAGTATTTTTCTTTGTGCTACTGTTATTAAACGACGATTAATGAAGAAAAAGAAAATTGCAGTATCCACTTCATCAAAGAGAGAGGATGTATTCTTGTATATATATACATGACTAGACATAAGTATGAATTATTTTTTTACATAGTAATTAATTATATAAGCACAAACTATTCATTTGCAAACTTACATGGTTAAACAGCTCAATTCAAGCAAAGTTTGTTTAGCCTTGTAAATATTAGGGTTTAGTTTTAACCAGTATCAATAAAAATTAACTGCATTATTATTCAGTTATATACAATTACATAATAAATAAAAGGATTGATCTCATCTAATGCAAAAGAGATTATGCAGTCATTGACAAAACCTAGCACAGTTGGTAGATAGATGGGTCCTTTAAGTATGCTGATAGTGGTTCGATTCTTGGCTGGGAGAAGCCGTACCTACAATTGCGTGATCTCTCTGCGTCGAGATGATTAATCCTTGACTTTCAGCTAGAGGATATCCTTGGAACAATTTCAAAAAAAAAAAAAAAAAAAAAATTATGCAGTCTATGCCTCGTAAGCTCATAGGAATGATGGTGCCAGTTTAGTTATATTTACCCTGCTAAAATAAGAGTATTCTTTTAGGATAGTTTATTTGATTCAATTAAACAATATATATAAGAAGATTTATTTAAATGCTTATTATGTTAACTAATTTCTTGTACAATTTTTCCTTTTTCCTCAATTTATAACATTTTATCAATATTTGTTCTGCTTTTCATCAATTTTTTAGTTTATTTTAAAAAAGTATTCGTCGGAGCAACAAGCTAGTCTTCAAACCCTTAGCTCACAACTCGTAGGCTTTGGTCAAGGCCTCCATTTCTAAGCCCATGTTAAAGCGGGCTAATCCAATTTGATCCGTATCGGCTTAACCTGTAATGGGCTAGGCCTAAATGATCCATATTGACACTTGACAGTGTTAGAATTTGGCAGCTTCCTTACCATGAGTTACAAGGAAAAACATTACGTGTACATCGGTACACCATTAAATAACTTCTTGTGACAATATTAACTTATAAAATGGTCCTTTAGTTTATTTATCATTGAGTCTCATTACTAATCAGTTTTTGCAATTCAGTCCATGAACAAAATTTTATCTAGGAATTCAAGGATGGCAGGGCTAGACTGCTAAATAATAATAATAATAATCCTATTACTATTGCCGCCGTTATCGTTGTCACCGACTAGCTACGGCGGCATAGAAGAACCCAGATGAGTCGGCGAAACCGTCTAGTGTTGCAATGAAAAACACTCAGTTTTGAACTTCTTTCTCCTAAGAAAAATTCAGGTTGTGGAAGTGGCAAGTCTGTCTCTTCGTCTTCGCCTGTTGTTGGGACTCTCAATTACTTTTTTAAATAACACTATTTTCAAGGACTAGATTGTAATTTCAAAATTCACACTTAAACCTATTCAGCAAATTACAGGTAACTAATTTCGAAATACATCATCTCACGTGAAAGAAAAAAAAACATAACATGATTATAAGAGAACGTTACAAACATATAAAAGTAAATTAATTCAATATATATTTTTGCTTTCTCTTTTTTTCATTATTGTTAATCCGTAGGGTTATGCTTCCTTGCATGTCGATATCAAGATCTTTATCCAAATAATTCACACCGTTCATCTCGTTTACAAAGTAGGCTATTACTTCTTGTCATTAATGGTTTGATTCACACATAACGGAAGTAATCGTTTCCATTATTATTGTCCAATCGCGAAAAGCTGAGACTGAGACCCATTATTAAAGGACAAATCTTCCAAAAAAAATTTGTTATAAAGGTTTCCGTAATCATGCGTTGAAACCTTCGTGTGGGGAATATGATACATAGGGTCTTGATTTTTTAATTATCTTTACCATTAAATATAATAAATAATTCAAGCAAAGTCGCCTTACATGAGTTTTTCCATCATGGAGACCCTGCTAAGTTTTTTTAAAAAAACGCATTCCACTGTGCTTTTCGAATGAAGTCACTGAGAACTTCTGCTTTCTTAATTAATTAATATATACATACATTAATTAAACACGGATAGTTCACCAATGAGTTATTTAAATGAGATGAGACCAAAACTATTGTTTAACTTGTAATAAAAACCAAATCATATTACCCATGGGGGAAATGATTTTCAACCTTCCTGTAGTTTATGATTAGTGGTGAGGAAAGCATGTGTAAATCATAAAATAATATATTAATATATTATTAAATGATCAGCTTCACAAGGGAGATTATTGGAATATTTAAGTGTGATGAAATTTCACATTGCTTGATAATGAGATAAGTGAAGTGCATATAAGAATTCGACATTGTGTCACAGTCTAAAACCTTAAGATATTAGGTTCATGAGTCCTCTTACTTATATACATTTCACTTAGACCATAATTAACTAATGTGCAACTCTATCACACTTGAATATTCCAACAAAATGAAATACTAAAAAAATTATACCCGGATTAATATATAAAAGTTAAATTATTATAAAATTTGTAATATAGATTGATTACTCTCTTTGCCTCATATCGTGCGAAATTAATTTCACTAAAAAGTAAATGAAAGGATTGAACTCGTAACCTCGATTTAAAACCTTCGGCACAAGTGGTCACCGAGCATGTAAAGCAATAAATTCAATCTTAGAAATGAAGGCACATTTATCAATCAAGGTGCCATTGACAATTTAACATCTCAGGACCCCAATTCTCTTCATCTTTTCATTTGGCTTAGCTTAGTACCAAAGCTCAACAGAGGGCAACCAATAAACAAAGGTCCGACACATTGGGATTTGCTTTTATCTATGGTGTGGGATTTCCTTGAAGTACGTTAACCTGCAGAACAAGATTATTGGTTGAAAGTAGATTCGAAATTACGTGCTTGAAGAGTGCAAGGCCTTAAATAAATCTTCTTAGCCAACTGAACCAACCTGCATCGCCTTTTAAAATTATATTGTATTTTAATTTATTTGATTTGATGGCTAAAATGTTAGCCGGGCCAGGAATCTTGTGCCTATAGAATGCCTCTCATAGCTAGAAACACATCTCTTTTTGCTGGTGGGCGCGTGAATGTTTGAATCCTACATCTATCGAAACCTCTCACCCATGTTGTATGAAATCAATTATCATTTTGCAAAATAAATAAAAAAGTAACTAGTTTTGTGGTAGATATATCACGAGAAGTGTTAATCAAAACAGCTCCGCAAGCTGGAAAAGTCAACTTGTAGGCTGTTCGATCCCCATTAAATCTCAGGTCATGGGAGCTTAATATTGACCACGTGATAATTCCACGAAAGTCAAAACTCCCTGCAGTCAACCTCTACAACTCCCACTTGTATGTGATGTGTTATTATCTGGACTTTGCATGTTTTGCTCTCGTTTCAATGAGCTATATTAATTAATCCTGATAGCAGATTAGTTGCTAGTGTATTTGAATGGTGTTGTGAAGTCCTATAATATTGCTAATGGTACTTGCACCCAAGGCATGCACTAACTGACAAGTCATCCAAGGTATGATGATCCGTCCATACCGATCAACACAATGTTCCCGGAATCATCAAAATCATTAAAAATGAAGATTAATTTATCGCTAGTTCATTTCATGGACATTTTTAATTAGTTAAAAATTAAGCCTGTGCAATATCTACACTTCTGGCATAACGGACTATTGCGTGAGGGAGTGTGTTAGAGAATAATATAACTCATTAAAAAAATCCTCACCCAACACTTTAAGATTTTAAGTTGAAGTGGTTCTTGACAGTTACCGGTATTATTGTCTCCAATTCTACCAACATTTAATCGTGTTCAGTTAGAATGACCAACTACAGCATGAGATGAGACCGATTGAAATTTTTTTACGATACTTCTTATCAGCCAGCATCACTAACCAGAGGAAGATTCGACGTGAATCACGTTTTCATTGTCCATTTTAGGTACTTATTTTTTCTAAAAAAATGAGAATTTACGGTGATAGAAAATTCACTCTATTATAACGTCCGGACAAAACACGAATCTCAACATAAATTTAATTGGAATTACAAATTGATTATCAACTGAGATTCATGCGTTAAAAGCAAAATATGTAATTATTATATGTAGAAGACTGTATAAGTGAATCAATCTCCTTTAATTAAGAAAAGAAAATCGTGGGAATACAAGACAATTATACACCAACGTCATTGCTGGTGAATTTCAAGCACGTAAAAGTTGCTTTACGTGGCTAGTACTAACAGTAGTGCTCAACATAATGGCATGCAAAATTAAGTAAAGATAATACATTTCCTGCAATGGCTAATATCCAGAGTATTCCTTGTGTTCATTGCCTTGGACTCCACTTGCTATGTCGCCAAAAGGAAATAGATCAATATGAATTTTGAAGTTCAACCAACGTGC